AACGTCCGGAAAAGGATAAAGGTAGGCTTTTCGAAACTTTTTTTTAAAATCTGATGGCTATCTTCAATTCACAGAAATCATTTATCAGTAGACTTTCTCGAAGTCCTTCGCTTTAAATCTACCGCTCGCGCTTCGCGTTCGTGAAAACATTTGAGCTCGACTTGTAGGCAAGTCTAATTAATCAGTTAAAATTAAATTAGCTTAATGCAGGGGTAATAGTAGAGTTCGCGCGCCGCAGCGGAGCACCGTGGGTAAGACAAAGTCGTCCGTCCGTCCGTCCGTACGTTTACCTCTTCATGGTAGCGTATGTGAAATGACACTTTCTAGCTAGGACTCCAAGGCATATACCGTATTTATTCGAATAAGCGCCCAACCTCGAATTAGCGCCCACCTCGAATAAGCGCCCATCCTAAAGGCAGAAAAAGTTAATAAGCGCCCACCTCGAATAAGCGCCCACTCTCAGGGTCCAAAAATTTAATAAGGACCCGGGGCGGTTAATCGAATAAATACGGTAATAACTGTGTTTAACTTAGTATAGGCCATTTGCACGATGGCGTCATTTACTTCTAGGGACTTTAAGATCCGACGACGCGGACGGCAACGAGAACGTCGCTTTAAAAGTGAATTTGCTTTCTTTCAGTCTATATAGCGATTATTCCTTCCCACTTTTTTTGTCAAATGTAGGCGAACCCTTCTGAAGCTGAATTTCAAGTGACCATATTCAAGCTCAGGAAGAGAAATGTAATTTCGTCGTTGCTTGTTTACGTCCCCTTAAAACCCGAAATTATGCATTTTCTCCTCGAAGTCGTGCAAAAACAGGAAAGAAACGTACAAAAAAGCTTGATGCACGTGCAAAGTTGTTGTTTTGCTTATTAAACCTTTTGTTTATTGATGTTCTCGTTGCTGTCCGCGTCGTTGGATCTTAAAGTTCCTACTATGACCAAAATTCTTTTCGTTTTTCCTTTCACATTTAAATTTGGTAATCCCAGCGAGGTTTAAATAGCAAAGGCGCTAATTTGCACAAGAAAGGAAAAATCCGAAGGATTCTGGTCGTAGTAGTAAAATGACGCCATCATGCAAATTCGTGTTATTTCATGTTAAAGGCAAATGACATCTGTAGTTCTTTTCAAAGTTTAGTAGCCTTCGCTTTAAAAATAGACTACGAGTAGTCCCCCATTTTTCCTCAGGGATAGTAGAGCGAGCGAAACGCGAGCGCGCGTGAAAATCACCCCACGCGAGAAAAGGCGACACGCGCGCTCTACTATCCCTGAGGAAAAATGGGGGACTACTCGTAGTCTACTTTAAAAACAAAAACAACTTATGACCAAAAGTTCGTCATAGCTCAATGCGCTTGCGTAAATAACGGAGCCACCTAAACCTTCCACTATGATAACTGAATGTATTACTGAATAGCACAATTTCTGCAAGCGAAATTGTTAACATTAAGTCCGCAGATCGATTCAAAAAGTCTTGAGTATGTTAGTCGATATGAATTTTAATTAAACATAACGATTGATGCTGTGGAAATTTTTTTTTCTATTTTATCTTTTGTAAAAAAATTTGTTAAACGTCATTACTTTTAACTTTATTTCATTTTATTTAGTTAGGCCTCTCGCAACCCTGTTGCAGAACTACAAATTTTTGAATAAAGGTTGAATAAAGCCTCGCCAGGCGTTCATGGTCTTTGATACAAGGATCATTGCCGTAAGCCGCCAGTTGCTGGCACGTTTCCTGCTTCCAAAGTGTCGCTTCGGGTGGCTATATTTGGCTGTATAGCACTGCGCGCAGTTACTAATTATAGACCCGAAACTCAGACAAACTGAAATTAACATTAGCGAATTCCTCGCTTTTGTCTGACTTTTGTCATTAAAATGTCATATTTGTCTGTATTTTGTCATAAAAATGAGAAAAATGACGATGCCATTTTTGTCTTTTAAGAGAGCTTTCAAGTCAAATGGCTGCTAAAATTTTTAAGCATGAGCGAGATGAAAAATTTCATTTTTAAAATTTAATAGTAAAAAATTAGAAGCCTTAAATGAATAGGGTTTTACCGCCTGATTAACCTGCTTTTTGCATGGGCCAGAGAATGCTGGTTATTTCAATAAAGCAAATCAACGCTATTCTTTTTTTAATCAGTTTTAAAAAAATTGCCTCAAAAATAGATAAACACGTAATGTTGTTCAACAAATATGGGGCGCCGTTTGTAAAAAAAATGATTTAGCTTAATTTTGTCATTTTTTTCGTTATTTATTAAATAAAGTTTTCTGATATGATATCATACGTCAATGATTTGATATAATAAATGTTGATTTCAAATCATGCGTTCATGATTTGATATAATAAATTCTGATTTCAGATCATGCCGTTATGATTTGATATAATAAATTATTTTTCAAATCATACCTTTATGAATTGATATAATAAATATTGATTTCAAATCATAAGTTTATGATTTGATATAATAAATCCTGATTTCAAATCATTCGTTTATGATTTGATATAATAAATCCTGATTTCAAATCATAAGTTTATGATTTCATATAATAAGTTCTGATTTTAAATCATAAGTTTATGATTTGATATAATAAATCCTGATTTCAAATCATAAGTATATGATTTCAAATAATAAAAATCATTATTTGATATCAGTAAAACCATGATTTAATTTAATACGTAATAAGTAACCGCGTGACTTGGCACGTGGGTTACTACCGCGGGAATAATCGCAAAGATGGCGACACAACCAGATCAGCTATCGAGGTCAATCGCTTCTAGGGTCTCTAGAGCCGTAGAAAGGGCGGTTGACCAAGCTTTGGCATCCCTTCCGAACATATATATGCTACTGCGATTTGTCGCCAAACCAGAGTCTCAATGTTACGCCTGTACAATGATTTTTGTTCGCCAAGGACGCTTGGACCGATGTCACTAACTAATAATTTCTCCTCCTGGTGTTGAGGTGTAAATAGCCCTTTGTTTGTCTCGATCTCTTGTTCTCTGACGAACTGTCTTGTCGCCTCACTTTGTGAAATAGAAACAATCATTAGCTGTATGTTATTTTAGTATGGCTACTAAAAGGACATAACAAAGGAAGCAAACACATCTAAAACTAAGCCGCGCGTGTCACGCAATGCGCCAGACAAGCGAAAGGTCCAAAAGTCCTCTTTCCCTCGTAAATATAGTCATAGCTTTCCGATTAACACGCAATCCCCTTAACTAATGATGCAGTGCAACATGTAAGAAATAGATGAGACGCTTGGAAGACATCAATAATGATTTTTTTGTTAATCACATCGACACACAGGTCATCACCCCGGCAGCGACTGGGATGCTTTAGCAGTGATACATCCTCGGGGGGGTATGTGCCGCCCGGGACTCCAAATAGGCACCCCGTTCTAAAAAAAAAAAAAAAATATCCCCTAAAATTGATACCCCGTTCTAGATATGGGCCAATTTTTTTATATCCCGTTCTAGAATTCGCCTTGAAACTGATACCCCGTTCTAGAAATGGGCCGATTTTTTATACTCCGTTCTAGAAAGTTGGTAAATTGAAATAGCCCTGTTTTTTTAAAAGATATTTCTTTATTTGTTCGACTTATACATCAAATAGATGCTTCTTCATAATCAGCAACAATTTTAAGCAGAACATAAAGCCATGATCCACAATTTTTTTATACCCCGTTCTAGAAAACGCCTCTGAAATGGATACCCCGTTCTAAATCAGGAGCTTCAAAATCACGACCCCGTTGGGCGGCACATATACCCGTACAGGTAATGTATGGGAGTACCCCCGCATACATCAATGTTACATACCTCTTGTGTCGCAGCAGCAAAACCTGAATTGCCAGGAAGGCTCGGAAGGGATGCCAAAGCTTGGTCAACCGCCCTTTCTACGGCTCTAGAGACCCTAGAAGCGATTGACCTCGATAGCTGATCTGGTTGTCTCGCCATCTTTGCGATTATTCCCGCGCTAGTAACCCACGTGGCAAGTCACGCGGTTACTTATTACTTATTAAATTAAATCATGGTTTTACTGATATCAAATAATGATTTTTATTATTTGAAATCATATACTTATGATTTGAAATCAGGATTTATTATATCAAATCATAAACTTATGATTTAAAATCAGAACTTATTATATGAAATCATAAACTTATGATTTGAAATCAGGATTTATTATATCAAATCATAAACGAATGATTTGAAATCAGGATTTATTATATCAAATCATAAACTTATGATTTGAAATCAATATTTATTATATCAAATCATAAAGGCATGATTTGAAATCAGAATTTATTATATCAAATCATAAACGCACGATTTTAAATAATAATTTATTATATCAAATCATAAACGCATGATTTGAAATCAACATTTATTATATCAAATCATTGACGTATGATATCATATCAGAAAACTTTATTTAATAAATAACGAAAAAAATGACAAAATTAAGCTAAATCATTTTTTTTACAAACGGCGCCCCGTAAACAAACGCCTTGAATTTGATTATTTTTGACTCTATCCAAAATTCCCACGTGCACGAGCCAAGCAAACTCGTTGAAAATTTGCAGTATTTGCATATTACAACAGGGAAAAACCTAACCTCAAATCAGTGTTAAATTAAAACGCCGTGTCTAGATACCCGGCAGCTGGGAACTGTTTTCAAAAAACTAGATACAGAAATTTTGACCAATTCTCTCGGAATAGCTCGTTTAATTCCTCTAAGAACATAAGATATTTGTTTAGGAATCTCAAGCGATTGTAAATACATGTAGCCACAGCGTAACCTGATATAAAGAGTATTATTGATCCTTGATTAGCATATAAGAATGGACCGGTGAATCAGTACGACATTCCGGTTCCAAAGTTATTCTTGAAAAGTCCTATATCAGACTTACCTTAGTATGAAGGACGTCCATTTATTTGCTGTTTTCGTCACCTTTGTGATCGTTTCGTTGTTCTTGTATCATTCAAGTCGTGGTGTATATTCTGAGATGGATTCAGATAGCTTTATTAACGTTGGTTCCAAGAATGGCCCGGTAGCAAACTACTCCAAGCCTCGAAAGATTTTAATTTACACAGAGTTCTTTTACAGCGGTTTACCTTGGCCGGGATTGACAACTACAGAAGATTTCACTGAGTTCAAAGGCCAGAAATGTCCAGTAACCAACTGTGAACTAACATACGACAAGAATGACTCCACGAGTAGCGACGTAGTAATCTTTCACGCATACAATATGCCCTCTTCAAAAGAGATGCTTCGATTGCAACGTCAAAGGCGTCAACATCAAGTCTGGGTTTACTTCCACCTGGAAAACCCAATAGTTACATCGTATATTGCACCTCATAAGCACCGCAGTGACTTGGACAATGTGTTTAACTGGACAATGACGTTTATGCGAGAGTCGGATATTTTCCATCCTTATGGATTTTATTTGCCGCTAACGAAAGGTGAACGTAGTTCAGTATCAAGTCAAAATCACGCCATTGGGAAGACGAAGCTTGCTGTATGGTTGGGAAGTGGTTGTGGCCAAGTTCTGGATGAAAGAAAAGTCAGAATGATGTACATACATAACCTGAGAAAGCTCATTCCCGTTGATATTTATGGGAATTGTGCGAAATATTTCCATCAAACAGTCCGAGACTGCCCGAAAACGGCGGACGATCATCCGGCCCCAGAATGTGCTTCTCTCTTGCAAGAATACAAGTTTATCCTGGCTTTCGAGAACATGAATTGCAAAGATTACATCACTGAGAAATATTGGTGCAATCCCTTGGAACTGGGATTGGTCCCTGTAGTGATGGGGGGTGCAGATTACAAAGCCCTTGCTATACCAGGTTCTTATATAAACGTGTTTGATTTCTCGTCTCTGAAAGAATTAGCAGATTATTTGATGTTTCTCGACAAAAATGACGGAGAATATAATAAATATTTCGAGTGGAAGAAGCTTTATAAAGTTGGCGGCTGTTTGCGAGGCTACAACATGGCGAACCACTACCCCTGGATGTGTGAAATTTGCGCTGCTGCGAACAATGGATCGCTTTTAAGTAAACCTAAGTTCTATAAAAAGGTTCAAAATTTTTATGACCCAGAAAAAAGATGCGGAATACAATATTCACGGCTGAAGGAAATCATATCAGAAGCATTTGATAACTCTCAAAAACTGCTTAAAGATACGACAAGCAAGATCAAATCAAACAGTATTTGATATTACCGCGACAGAAATACTTACTTAATTAATTGGGGAACTTTAAAACTTAAGTTAAATAGCTACGCAGGAATGACAGTCGCATTGATCACATCTCAGAGATGGAAATCACAATATGCGGTAGGCTATCAAGTTTTACTGGTAGCATTTTAGTTATGGGTGTCATGTGGATCGGGTGAAGCGAGAAAAAAATTTCGAAAACGCTTTCTTATTATGCCCACCGCCGTTTATCAAACAGGTGAGTTAGACCAGCTGCTAGTTGATGTGAAAAGAAGTTTGTTCTGTATTTTTTATTAATTTGAATTTGTTTACGTCTTTTTACGAAGATATGCAGCGCGACATGGAAATTGAAGCAACAGAATAGTTAGGGAATACCAACAGATTTTAAACTAACAGAACCTGTTGGGCTCCTGACAGAACTATTCATTTTTATGGCTGGGGCAACAAATGAATTGGGAATGATAAAGAATGAATTCATAGTTTAAAACTGCTATGACTTTTTGATTAGATGGTTTCTTTCCATTTAAAAATTTCTCCAAAAATAGCTTCATGAGGAAGATGGCAAAAGAAGGTACAAAAGATAATGATCATTTGATTTATAAATAGTGCATTTATTGTGGTTGAATTAATTTTGTCCTTGTTGAAAATTTCATTTTTCATGTTTTGAGAGTATGGTAATCCGGTATGGTAATGAGTTTGAAACGAAGGACTTTATTGACTATTTTCCAATTGCCCATATAGTACATTCTGTTTGCCCCCCAAATTTTGCATAACTTATTGTCTTAAAATGCTCTTGGGAAAATGCAATATTCCCAAGAGCATTTAAAAACAATGGTTTATGCAGAATTTGGGGGGGCAAACAGAGTGTATTATGGGCAATTGGAAAATAGAGAATGGCTATGTAGTACTCGCTCGCGTAACACTGGCCTGAATTCTGACCAATTACTAGCGAGAGCTCTTTTTCAGGGCGCGTGTTTGGGTTTGTCCCTCGGGAGTGGCTTTCTGTGTATGATAAACACGAGTGCAAGCGAATTTTTCCAGGTTGGCTGCAAGGGTGGGAGGATTGGATTCATGCGCCGTCGAATCCCCTTGTGGTAGAGGGGAGTGGGGCTGGTCAACACCCGTTATTTTAAAAGAAATCATATCAGAAGCATTTGATAACTCTCATAAAACTGCTTAAGACAAGCAAGACAAGCAAGTAAAGATAATGAAACCGAGTACTTGACTAACCGTGACAGAAGAACGTACTTAAACTGAGGAGCTATAAAACTCCAGTTAACAGGCTGGGCAGGAATGACTCTTATTGGTCACATCTCTGAAATGGAAATGACAAGAGGTGGTAACGATCAAGTTTTACTGGTGTCATTTTATGGGAATTTTAGTTACGGGTCGGGCAATGTTAACGCGAGAAAAAGTTTTTAAAAAGCTTAATTTCGAAAACACTTTTTTAATGCTCACTGTAACTGACCGAACAGGCGAATTACATTACCACTGCTAGTTGATGCGAAAAGAATGTTGTACTGTCTTTTTTACTAATCTTAATTTGTCAACCTCTTTTCACAAAGACAGCGCAACTGAAATTGAAGCAACAGAATATCTATAGAGAACTCCATCAGAGTTTGGAACCAACATTACCCATATGGTTTAAGGTCTTTGGGTTCCTGGCTCCTGACAGAACGATTCATCCCGTGGGGGGGGTGACCCGGGGAACCCTCGGGCGTTTGTAGAACGACGTTTACAAATCTCCTCCACCCAAGAACAATATTTCTCCAGGAAAGCTACCATTGTCACGGCCCTTCCCCCGAGGATACACTGGCGCTGTTTTCAATGCATTTCACAGAAACCGTCGTTGGGTGCCCCTGTTAAGTCGTACAGGAGTCGTATGAGATTTGTGTGTACACAAATGACCTGTCGCCAATGAAATCAACGTGCTCAGCAAAGAAATTTGCATGCGATGAACACGATTTTATCGGCCAATAAGAGATGTTTTTTTTTCGGATTCTTCAAGAGTGATCCCCGTCAATCTCGCCCCACCCATTTTTTAAGGGAAAAGCCCTGGGGACGAGGTTGTGATCCCCGTCGCTGTACAAAAGGATCGCGGCCTCTGGGAACGAGCATTCAACCTCGCCCCCAGGGTCTTCTCGTTTTCCAAAATGTCCGCCGCCATTTTGAAAAAAAGAGAAGACTCTGGGGCTAGGTTAGCCTGCGAACGGCAGACGTATTTCCGGTCGTCGCTTCTCTCCCGCTTCTTTCTCGACCGAAAATACGTCTGCGGTTCGCAGGAATCGCAAGCTAGGGCTAGGATGGGTGTCGCCAAAAATCCCGTTCTCGTTTCCAGAGCTTTAGACTGCAAAACAGTCGGTTTTTTTCTCAAAATCAGTAAAGAAATCGGTAAAGGGTGGCGTAAGAGTCTTACGCGCGCGAAGCGCGCAAGCCTCACACGTCCGAAGGGCGTGTGAGGCGAGAGAAAAAAAACCGACTGTCCGTTTTCCATACAATGAGTTCGTTCCGACCAGGGGGTTCAAAAATGTCGTCGAGCTGTCAAAAATCTGTTCGCAACTCCGCCCTCTATGTGAATTTGATAGACTCGCGTGTTATTATTGACGCTGAAATCCAGTAATTCTAAAGCAGTTTTTAGCGTTGCTTCCCTGTGAAATGTAGTGTATGTAATGAAATGTAGTATATATAGTGGAGGATCAAAAATGAGTGAAAGTGGCAGTACGACAACAAAGCCTGTGCCTGCTCCTCGAAGAGGGAGAAAGCCGAAAGAGCAGAGGCTTTGGACAAATTGTAGAATGTGTGGCTGTTGTTTCAAAACACAGTTCGGCAATTTTACGAATGGATGGATAAGCTCGGAAAATGCGTTTGTTGCGCCTACCAGAAAAGGGGAAACGTTACCAAAGTGGGCCGACCTACTGAAAAACGAACTTTTCGTTGTCCTCGAGGAAGGAGAATCTTTCTCCACAAGAGCAGTTTGCTCTCCGTGCGGAACAACGGTTAGAAATTGCCCCGGGAAACTGCACGGCGATGCTTTCGCAAATTAGAGAAGAACTGAACACGCCATCTGACAATGAACAATTATTGCGATTGAAAAGAATGAGTAAATCCCCTTCATTCCAAACCACGTCTTGGTGATTTAGCTCTGTAAATTACTATCTGTGAGAATTTAAAATCCTGCCAAAAACGCTAACGAGCTGGGCCCAGCGTGACAAAACATTGCAGGAAAAGTCACATTCACGGACACAAAGAAAATCGCTTAAAATTATTCAAATCCAGGAGGCACTTTGGAGAAATAAAACAACCTAAACCCTTAATCAGCCGCAATGAAGAGCTTTACATTTCTAAAGGGGCCAAGAAAGAAAATGCTCTTGCGTCAGAGGGCAAATCATGCCTACCAGAGAAAATCAATATGCGTGTCACGACCTCTCAGTATGAAATATATTTAATAAGCGGCCAAAATTCACATTTGCTCAGTCAAAACGTTTTCCTCCAAAGCATAATCTACTCGACAGAGAAAACAATTCATTGGAACAAGAGGCATGTTTGCATGAGGTAAAAGTCGTGTGTTTCCTACCGATCCCGCTTTTTTAGCCAGGCGAGATAACAATGACGGTCGGCCGTTGCACGGAACTTGAAGAACTCTTTGCATGAACAAACATCCGATAAATAAGGCTTTTGTCAAATCCTGTTGGTAGAACACAGAAAACATCCTTTTCCCTGAGTAGCAACTCCAAAGCTTCCCTCTGCTCCGATTTTAAAACAAATCCCAATTCTTGCGAGCAAATCCAGGCGATCAACATCTGTCATTTTTAATACAGCGAAAGCTTTAGCAATTCATCATGGTGTGGAACAACGTGAATGACATGTTGAAAACATTACTTGACAGCTTGGTGACAGCTTGCATCGAAATTTAGCCAATGGGAATTGCCCGTGGCTGGGAGAAGCGGGTAATTCGAACGAATATAACGTATGCAAAACGGACAGTCCGTATTTTTAGCGTCTCTCCCCAGTCTCGCTCCGTGTTTTCAGCCTCATTCCAGACCTTTTGTTTGACTGCTCGCGCGTACTTGAATTACGCAAAAATTCGGACTGTTTTGCAGTCTACCAGAGCTTCGATCCTTTTGGTTAGCGTCGTGGATCGATAACACAGACCAAAAGGATCGAAGCTCTGGCTACGAGAATGTAAAAATCCCAATTTTCCCAAACTAACAAGAGTGACCCTGCTCGCAGATGGTCTCCTACAAAGCCATTTTTAGTGTCGTCACGCAACGAGCGTTGCGTGACGACACTAAAGACGGCTTTGTAGCAACTACGGTAGCTCGCAGGCTATGCGAGCGTGAGATTAAGATAGGTTGTGAAATTGTCAGGACAAAGTCTTGAGACCGTTTTTTTATCGTTTTAACCTTCTTTTTAAAGCCATTATGTGACTCGTGATATTTGAAATAACCAAATTAAATCAATAAAATTGTTTTGACTTGAAAATTTTATGACAGGAATGGAATTCGACAAAAGGCTGCGGAATCAAAAACTCAGTCAAGAAATGAAACATCCTAAATGATCGAAATAAGCAGAGGACGTTATAAAATATTTAAAAAAAAAATTAACCTTTCGTGCTACAGTTTGCCTCCCCGCAGACGTCCTTTGGGGTTCGTTTGTCACGCATTCATTTCTCCCTTACGGTCCGTGGGGGAGAAATGAATGCGTGACAAACGAACCCCAAAGGACGTCTGCGGGGAGGCTATGCTACAGTAACTCGCACCAAAGTTTCGAGCCTTCCACGATGAGTTCGAAAAATCTAGATTTCCCCGTAATTGTAGATTTGATTTAATATGAACAACTTCATGAAAAAGTCAAACGTCAAAAAATTAGAGAATGATTGAAAATGGTAAATTACATTTTTTGTCATCAAAATGGAATGATTAAAAAATATGTTGGCATTCATTCGTGATTCAGGAAATAAAAGACCATAAAACTGTACCGTGCGAGCAGTGTCGGAAAATCGAGGAGACTCTGATCGCAGGGTATTAAAACTGTCGCATGCTGGTGATGCAAGGGATGCGGAGAGGAAACTGGATCCAGGCGCGACGACGCCTGAGGGGACGCCCGAGGGTTTAGGGTTGTTGACCTGAGCGTCCCCCCGAGGTGTCTTGATTTGAAACGCGCCAAGCTCATGGCGTTTAGATACTTAGCACAAAAGTGCCTCCTGTCTTAAATGAATCTTAGGTTAAAGGGAAACCCCCATGGAGAAATGTAGGTTATTCAAGGAAGGGAAATCTATACCTTTGATAGGTCACGCAACACGAGTGTTGTTGTACTGTCAAGTAATTCGATGATAAGCTTGAAGTTGCATTGAGCAATAACCACTTTGACGAAAAGTTTCAGTGCGAAGACTGGTCCATCCAGCTCGTTTACAGTACTGGAAATGGCTATTTCGTTTTTGTGGGCTTTGTATTTAAAAGCAAGTTTGATTCTCCTTGCAACGCTGCACAAAAGTGACGGATCTTTGGCGGCGAACGGAGCCAACGTTTGTTCAAGGTCTCAAAGGTACAGTTTTAAAAAGACATTAATTTTGATTCCTGAGTAGAAGAAGACGAAGTGCATAATTAGCTCGCTGTCTTTATGTTTGTTCTTTAAGGCAAGATTGAACCCTCTTTTCTGTAATATTCCGCACTTATAATATATTAAGTTTAGTATGAATGCATAATAAATGTGGCATGGGGGAAGTTAATTTTCTTTTCCTGCAGTTTGTTAATTGCGTGTATTGCTAGTATTTTTTTTACTAGATGATGATGATGATGTTTTTGTTTTACCAAATGCCAATCAAACCAACCATAATTGTCATTTTTCATTGCTCTGATCAACCCTACCCCCGCATCCTAAAGTATTTAGCATTCATCATTGGCTTCCAAAGTGCTGTCCTGTAGGATATCCCTGGGATTGCTTCCATCTGCAGAATACCTGGGATGTAAGGAATAACTGTTACCCTTAGGCTGGGAAAAGTCAGTAGTCCCTCTTTGCCACTAGGCATGTTTCTCCTGGTCTATTATAACTACTACGTTGACCAATCAGAGTTCCTGAGCAGATTCTGGCAGATTTGACATTATACATCCCTCCTTGCAAAACGTCCCTAGTGGTGAGGAGCGAGGAGAGACAGATGTTTTAACCCCTAGGTCTCACTTGTGCTAGAGCCATGCTTCCTTGATGAATATTTGTTTATCTAGCACGTTCCTAGCTCATTGCACATTTGACCTACCAACTTAGCCTTAATGCTTGCTTGCCCAAAAAAGAAGGAAGAATTGTCATTGGTAGGTCTGCACGGTGGGACTGCTCTGGACTAGTAAACTTCAGCAACAGCTTGCCCTAAATAAGGCGAGCAATTTTTGGAATTTCATGTAACCCTGGAATGAACATTTACAGTGAATATTTATAAAACAGGCACATGATATATAGTATTGATTATGGCTGTGAAAGGTGATTATGATGCTCATCATCATTATCAGGAAATATAGCCTTTCCGTTTTGATGAAAACTGATGTCAAACAAATTGTAAAACATACCACAATATATTTATCCAGCTGTGACAGAGTTTTTTTTTTGAGAAATGTAGACATTCTTGTTGCATACTTACTTGATTATCAGCTGCAATGTAGATCTTATGTTTGGAGTACAATTAATTTAGTTTTTCACAGACATACTTACGGTCATACCAGATGAGTTGGCAGAGAAGATCCTCAAAGGGTTGCGGATTTTGGAACTTGAGACGATGCACTGTCTACAGGTAAGCATTACAGTGCCATGCCTGCCTGGGCATTATAATAAGCAACTGTTGAACAGGGAAGGGTGTGTTTCTTTAGGGTGATACAGATCAGGATTAGTGATCCAAGATCAGTTGGATCATGGTACATGAAATAAAGAGGTGGATTTGGTGGTACCTTTGATGTGCCATGATCTGATGAGTTCCTAATGGAACTGATCACCCTAAGATTTCAAGGTACTCATGGGTATATGCAAGTAGATGGGGATCCATCCAATAGAACAGCTGGGAAGTTTATTTGGTTCTATTTCATGTTGTTTTCTGTGAAAGTAGTTGGGTGTCATGCTTGTTGATGTAGTAGCCAGGGAAATTCCTGGCCCCTGGCCCGTAGTGACAGTCTAGGGCCCAGTTGTTCAAAGGCTGATTTGCACTAACCCGGGGTTAAATCTTAATCTGGGTTATTTTGCTTGTGTTCAAATGCATTCTCTGCGATAATTTTCTCCATTCTATTTAGAGTAGCCAATCATCAAGTTGTAGACAAAAAGAATTAAAGTGAATTTGCTTTTTTAGACTTTCATATCTGAATTCAAATTTTGCACTTATCCTGGGTTATCTTAACCCAGCTTTGAACAATCTGGCCCTGGCTGAAACTAGCTACAGTGAGTACAGATCAGCAGACCATATTCAGATGGAATCTTAATTTTATAGAACAATGTATGGAGTTGCCTACAAATCTGCTACACGACAAGCATATAAAGCTGTGTATTCTTGCTGTCCTGGTTGGAAGGAACAAGGCAGGGGCTGCCCAGTTGGTAAGGAATTTTGATTGGCTGAGTGTACTTCTGGGAGGGGTGGGGGTACTCTGGACTTCAAGTGGTGAGGAGGATCGAAGGATCTTCTTTGGGTTTCAATTTGTTTTTCTGCGATTTTTTGGGTAGGATAATTTTGGGAAGTAACATTGCATGTAGTGTCAGCATCTCCTGAATGCATAGTTCTGCTGATCAAACATGTTTGGGGGTATTTTTGATTATCACATGAAACACATTAAGTTGCATAGACCCTGTTATGGTATACTCTGAATACACTCAGTTAGATGAATTCTCATCCATCATGTTTATGTTTATACATTACCTTACCTCATCTGTTTGTGCTCTGTTTCGCATAAGGCCTGCAACACCTGGCCATCTGGGTTGGGGGTTGGGCAATGGGTTATGTCCCATATCTGTAAAAAAAACCTCATTACTGAAACAAGACACACATACAAAGCTATGTATACTTTTCAAGACCATGTTTATTAAGTCACATACAGAGTTGGAATTACCAGAAAATTTGCGTGGGAGTTTTTTGGGGTCAGTACATTTTTGGTGCTGGAATTTTATTTTGGAAGGTGCCCTAAGGATTGAGGCCCTGTCATTTGAAATCTGGAGTTCTCTTCCTGGGGTGTGTTTATTTTTGTTTTATCAAGAAATTATATAAATACTAAGCAAACCATGCTGGTTTACCACTGAAAGCTAATTGCCTTGGATTCATATTCCTTGAATTTTGTTTAATGTTAAAATTTTCGTGTTATTACAATGTGAGGTGATGGTGTTTCAAAATGCTGAAAGAATTAGGTGGCACACTTTTTTTTGAATCTGCTGTTAGAAGACTTAATCCAGATTACTCCACTGACGACCAAAGAATTTGTACTATTTTTAATTTGTAGCAGCTACTTATTGGCCCATGGAAGGGAAGACGGCTTCCTGAATCCATAAATGTTTTGTTTGTGGAATCTGGATTCTGGAAAATATTTCCTTTTCTCCATTTTTGAGGCTATGACAATTTAAAGCGGTGTTACAGGGTTCTCTTATCATTGATGTATTTTTTGCCTTGTACTTTTTATTAATTAGCTATCTGCAAAGATGCCTGTGTAAATGGACGTTGTAGTAAGCCAGATACGTGTTCATGCAATGCAGGCTTTTATGGAAAGACATGTGACAGAGGTGAGGGGAAGATTGTCAGTAGTGTACTCTACCAAGTGTATGTCAAGTCTCTAAACCAAAAGCTCTGAAATCCATTATTCCTGAAAAACTAAGATTTACTAGGGGACAACAATGACTGTTAGTGAGGTCCTCCAGAAAATCTAAAGAAGATTAGGAGCAAAATAGAAGATGGATTATGTGCAAACAGCTAGACATTTTCATGACTTAGGTGATAACATAACATGATAGTCCTGTCTTAGTAGGAGACATACATGTAAACTTAGTGTCTTCAGTTACTACTTTTGTGTTAAGTACATTGACTGCACTCAGCTAAAGTGTGTTTTTTCCTTTCTCCATTTTGATCATTTTTTGCCAGAATGTCCTTCTCATAAGTGGGGCCCTCATTGCCACCATGACTGCAAGTGTCAGAATGAAGCCAAATGTGATTCACGAACAGGTTCTTGTTCCTGCACCGCTGGGTGGCAGGGGATGCTTTGTGAAAAGCCATGTGACCAAGGTTACTATGGTGACAAATGTCAAAAACAGTGTCAATGCTTGAATGGCGGCACATGTGACCCTGTTATGGGAAACTGCACGTGCGGACCTGGCTATACTGGGAAACAGTAAGTACTTTATATTGATTTTATGCCACTGTACTTTCCTTGCAAGTAGAAATTGAAATTTGTCCTATGAACACTTAATGTTGTGGTTAGAAAGTATTATTCTCACCAGACTCATACACAAGAAAATGATTATTTACAACACCATAAGTATGCCTGGCAAGCTTGGCCATAAAGAAGAAGCCGCTATTTTTTAACATGTGCGTGCTGTTGCATGGAAATTGTGTGTAGTGAGGATGTGCCATTAAAAATTAATGATTAGCTAATAATTTGGGGATCGGTAACTTTAGAATGTGTATTGCTGTGTTTTTGGTCTTATCTCCATTTTTGTCTCCATTTTCTTGAAAATTTACAAAATAATGATAAAAACATGAGTTGTAGATTATCAGTAAGAGGTAATGAATTCTGTAAAATTCTTACAGTTTAATATTGGTTTGCAAAGTTCTACAAAGGAATTTCAGTAAATTCTTTCACTTATTTTAAGCTTGTGTTTTATGTACCAGGTGTGAACTTCAGTGTCGCCAAGGTTGGTATGGCCAAGACTGCCTCAACAGATGTGGGTGCCTTAATGGCGGCAGTTGTCATCATGTTACTGGCACATGCAACTGTACTGCAGGATGGAAGGTACCTCAAGCTCGCCACAGAAAACAGCCAACATTTTGCTGCCCTGTCACTGGTTTCCCTGCAAAATGGCCTTTTAGAAACAAGCACAAAAATTCCATGCTAATGATGTGTCACTACCCTGATCTGAGCGTTCTGATTGGTCGTGCCAAGTGGGAAATTTGCTTCAACCAGAAGCACTACCAAGATTTGGGTAGTGACACATCATCAGCATAGAATTTCTGTGTTCGTTTCTCAGACGTCATTTCGCAGGGAGACCAGTGGCGGCATCACAAAATGTTGGCAGCTGTCTTCTCCGGTAGCTCAGCAGCTGGAAATTTGATTTTTCACAACAGATAACTTGAAGTCTTTTTTGTGGGTGCTTCAGTGCAATTACTGAGGCCCTGCCAGGGTAAATTCCAACAAGCGACATGGCCCAAAAAGTAGCGACAGCGCGTAAAATGAAATCGCGATAAGAGACAACCTCCCTCGGCCAAATTGCGACAGTGACGGCAAAGCCGACAATAAGCAACAAGCATTTATAAACACCGACACAAGACGTTTGAAAATTCAGACGGGTGACATGGGACCCCCCCTGGCAGGACCTCATTACTGTTGGTGACATCTCTGTTACAGTCAATTAGCTCTCTAGCTTTAATAACTGTTAAGATCATAAGCAGACAGCTCTAATTTCACGTTCCTTCACAAAACCCAAAATATGATAATTATTATAAGGTGCCAGGGACCACTGGGCACTGCTAGGGTACAGCCCTCCCTAATAAAGCAGCACACATAACCAACAACAGTCAGAGTAATTCTCACTTTTTTTTCAGGTCCTCTTGCTATTCTTATTTTAAGGAATCATTATGATGTTACAAGAAGTTTGGTTGTAATTATTTATTTATAGCTGTTTATCTTCTCTAGGGTGACTTCTGTGCAGTAAAATGCCCAGAAGGCACATATGGGTATAACTGTTCTCTAACGTGTATTAACTGCTTGAATGGTGCTGTCTGTAATCATGTCAATGGAAGCTGTACTTGTTCACCTGGCTACCGTGGACAAAGGTAATAGGTCGTTATTAAAAGTTGGAAAAGGCATTAGAGGTTTGTCACTGCCGTAAAAACTCATATACTCGTTGCGGCACTGGGTAAAGTACAAAGTATATGTTTATAGGCTTTTCTCAATCTGGCTTCCTAAGGTGTAGTTTTCTTGTGAGGGGCTGTCATGATCAGAGCATTTCTTGGTATCTGTGGTGTGTAGCATCAAGAAATATTGCTACATATTTTTGTACTTCCCCTGGATATAGAATAAACCTATATACCTGTATGCTGCTAGTACCCAAATAAACATGAACCCATATACAGCTGTACATACTGTATGGGCTTCTGAGTCAATAGCTCAACCAATCAGAATGCAGCATTGATTATAGACCACTAGCTGGATTTTACTAATGTGCAATACTACATGTAGTTGCAATGTAAGGTCTGTTTTTGAGTGGTAATACTGTAAAATGTCCCATGTGCTCATTATAAACAGAAATCTTTAGGTAAGACTGATCTATGCAGGGAAATAATCAAGCCACGGTACGCCCTCATTCCCAAGGTTCTTTCCTTCTTGTCCCCATGGAGGGAGAGACTTCTCAGGTAGTGAATCTGCAATGTCCTTTGCCAAAATATTTGGAGTGGAAAGTATCCCCAATAGATTAACATAATTTTCCAGATACTCTACAGGAAGTTATACTTTCACCATGATGGTATTTCATACATTATTTTCCCTTGACTCCTACTCTCAGAAGAGACAAATCTCCCACATATCTGCCCCTCCATCGAATCGTTTATTTGTTATCTCCCAGATCCTTGGAGATACTTGACCATACCCAACCAGGGTCTCTCTCTTTCTCTCTCTTTCTCCGTGGGACAATTAGAATCAGCGATGGCCATGGGGTATTCATCAATGCTGAATCTTGCGAAGGTATTGAATGACTTATTATGATAATCTTATTCTATGCCTCTCATTTTTAGTACTCACTGCTCACTTTCTTGTTCAAATAACAACTCAGGAAAACTGCTATTGAATACAACCTGTGGGATACTGCTTTCCTGCCTTCTGATTGGCTGTATTGTTAATGGCTTTAGATAAGCTATATGGTTACCTGGTGTAAGAAAATTACTCTGGGTGCAAAGCTTATAATACCTGAGGAAACGATGGTTGGAGTACATACTTTAAATTTCATTTCTTGTTAGGTGCGGAGATATTTGCCCTCCGGGGACCTATGGACATTCTTGTGCTGAAGAGTGCAGATGTAAAAATGGAACATGTTCGCCAGTGGATGGCTGGTGTAATTGTACAGTAGGTTACACTGGAGCGTACTGTGACAAGCCTTGCTCTGTTGGCTCTGCTGGATTGAATTGCACCAAGCAATGTAACTGCACAGTTCATGGAACTTGTAATCAGTTCACTGGAAAATGCCAGTAGGTATTTGTGATTACATGTAGATATGATTTATAGGCAATGTGTCTAAATCATCTAAGATTGTGCCTTAGCTAGGGAAGGGGACAGGGTTTCAGGTGACAGAAATTACCAAGGAAAATAGGTTCGAGCTTTCAACAGAAATTTGAATGAAAGCCCAAGCAAGAAACATCCAGGCGCTGACTTGCTGCAACTTTTGTTTTGTTCTTATCTTTGATGGCCAACTTGCTGCGAAAACAGCGTGACATGAGAGACAATCAAGTTGATGTCCTAGCCGATATTGACTGTGAATTTAACTGGGATTAAATTTTTCACCTTGAAACCTCCTTGTGCCTGTGTCACCACTTCTCAAGCAGACACCTATCCAAAATACCAACATTAGTTTTCCTCGCTAAATCAGGATACAGACTTTTTTGATCTTTCGGCCAAAAGAAAATTTATATTTATTGGGGAAGTGTAAAAATTAGGGATAATGGAAAGATTCAGAATTACGTTCTTAAAAAACGGCAAACGTCAGATGCAAGTTCAGGATTTCTCAAATTAAGAAATAAACAAATAAACGCAGTTGAAAATAGTTCCATTGTGGATAAAACTAGCATGAAACTGTTTATTTCTGTGTTGATGTAACCAACAGTAAAGGACAAGTAACGGGAAAACTTGGTCATGAGACACAAATGAACGTTTGGCGTTTGACGTTTGACGTATGGACGTGATTCCTAAGCTCTCTTACATTTTTGTGTTTGACTGGGAAATGGAAGTCAGCTTTAATTCAAGTTATCCGGAAGTTTGAGAAACCGAGGGAAATGGCAATCGGGATTGTACTGTGTTTAGGGCGTGTGACGAGACCTCTTGTGTTGAGCGACCAGCTCCCTAGTCTTTTGTAATGTATGCCCATCCGTTTCACGGAAAAACTATTTTCGTTCAACCAGCAGAGAGACGCCATGTTAGTTCTCGCAACTACTCGGAGTTGTCGTGATTATTAAAGGATTTTACAGTCTCCTTCGTAGCCGTTCTTTGTGTCATCACGCAACGCTCCTCTAAAAACAATAACAAAAAGAACAAAACAAAAACGGCTGCATAGAAGACTACCAGCTTTCTGAAGCGACCATCACAAATCGTGACCGTTTTAACAGGTTGCTTACAGAAGTTTGACTGAATACTAATCCCCAACTGAACCTTATTAACAGGGAACTTAAGCAACGAGAACGGCAAAAAAGCGATAGGGTAAGATTAGCAAAACAACAACTTTGCACGTGCATAACGCTTTTTTGTACATTTCGTTGCCGTCGTTGCACGACTACGACGTGAAAATGGTTAATTTTACGTTTTTTAGACGACGTGAACTCAAGACAACGAAATTTTTTTTCTTTTACTCAACTTAGATACAGTCCTTCAGAATTGAACTCCAGAAATTCGCCAACATTTGACGAATTGAACAAGATGGAATTAGCGCGATAAAGTTTAAAGCGGCGCGTGACGTTTTCGTAGCCGTCACCGTCGTTATTGCTTTAATAAGCTTCCTAATTTCGCCATTCTCATCCTTAGTTGTCAACCTGGTTATTACGGAGATCACTGTCAGATGCAATGCAAAGAAGGCTCTTTTGGTCCTCAGTGTAAAGGAACCTGCCAGTGTCTTAACAACGCAACCTGTGACAAGACAGATGGTACATGCGACTGTTTGCCAGGGTGGATAGGAGTTCGGTGTGACAACCCATGCCCTGCTGGATATTATGGCAAATACTGTCAATCAAAGTGCAAATGTCAAAATGGAGGGTCGTGTGATCCAGTTGATGGCAATTGTACTTGTGTGAATGAATGGCAAGGCCAGACTTGTGACCTCTGTAAGTTAGCTTTACAGTGCTGTTATACACATGTCAGAATCCTATATTACGAAGCGAGTACCTCCCTTATATTCGTGTTACCGCGGCGTTTTCAAAGGCAAGTGTATTCCTCACGTAAGAGAGGTTTTTAAATCCGTCTCGCGCGCACCGCGTGGATCACATGTGGCCATGTTAGCGGCCTGCAAACTCGGAGACGACAAATTGGTCCGTTGTTTTTGCGACCGTTTTTGGTGATCGAGAAATGCTATTGGCCATGAAATTTGTTGGCGGAAAGATTTTGAAGTAATTTGGTTTGTGAGCTTCAAATAAGAGTGAAAATTGATGGAAAATACATTTGTCAGTGCGTCTCGCTTTGCGACAAGTTTGATTCTTCTGTCGACTGTGTGTCGGAAGTGTGTTTCTCAAAACCTGAAACGTCATGTAGTATGAGATTTGGTGGTTTCATTACACTGACATGCTTTGATTTAATTTGCCTTTCATTATTTTTTGTCTTTAGTGTGTGACAGTTGGACCTTTGGTGAGAACTGCAGGAACTCATGTCTATGTAATCAAACTCAAACAGATCGGTTAGTTGGATGAATGAATGGAGAGGTTAAGCATCACGTTTACGTCGAACGGTAAAAGCGAATTTGTACCACGTGACCAAGTTTCTCCTTTACTTTACTTGTCTGTTCATTATTTCAACACATAATTAGTAGTTTCGCGCAATTTTTTATCCATAGGAATTGTTTTGAGCTGTTTTTATCTGCTCATTTTCTGTTTTGAAAAATTCTGAACTTGAATCCTACGTTTGCCGTCTGCCGTATACGTGATGCTTAAAATCACTGATAGTGACCTCAAGATACACCGTTTCAGCCTGCGGGTACGGGTAAGCGAACATGTTTACCTCGTAGTTTTATAAAAGGCAGTCATTATTTCCCAGATGTGATGATGGAGTAACCATTCTACCCGGTAGCCTACCCGTTGCTCCTGGTAAGACTGAGAGGCATTCTACCCGTATTAACGGCTACGTGTAAGCCTAATTTACCCGTACCCGTACACGGAAGCGGTGTATCTTAAGGTCTCTAATGTAAAGCTTTTTTTACCGTTGATTTTTTAATAGTGACTATGGTTCCATTTGGTTCTTTGCTCGTTGTTCGGGTGTTGTCGCTGACATTTTCAGGCTAAGTTTTTCTACACTTCTAAGTAGTTTACTGTTATAAAAGAAGGTCATGGGATTCACATAAATTCCATGAATTCAGTGAACTCGTAAAGCAAACATAACGGAAAGTGGTTCTCGGCCTGGTTGGCAAAATAAATCAGTGTACATTGTAATTAAAGTGCTGATATGTAATATCAAACATTTTACCGGATCGGTATACTATACCTTGCGTTTTTTACTTTTCTTTTGCAGATGTCACAAGATAACTGGTAAATGTATTTGTAAGAGCGGATTTACAGGCATTCACTGTAATCAGCAAATAAGTAAGTGTTACGGATAAGTTCCACCAAGACTGAATACGATAGAATAAACTGACGAAAGCCGCCTCATGAAGGTCGTTGTTGCAGCCTGTAGGTACAGAGCGACTGGTTTTAATAATCCATGATGAGAATTGATATTCGACTTATTGTTAGGCGAGAAGAAGGCGCTTCTCTCTCCCTTTTCGCTCCATGTTTTTTTGGCGTCTTTGAAACGTGTACTCTCTTTCACTCCCTTGTTCTGCTATTTCTATATTCTAGCAGTGGCAACACGCTCATCAAAGACGCGCATGATCAGAGCTCTGTACTTGTAAACACTTTTAAAGTAGAGGGACAGACGAATACCACATACTTGCATAACCCAAGGTGGTGGAATTCATTTTTATAATCTTGCTTGTTTATTTACTCTTACACAGGGTGCACAGTTGGTTTTTATGGCAACACATGCAACAAGAAGTGTAGTTGTAATGGTGCCCCATGTGATGTGGTTACTGGTGAATGCTATTGTCCTTCTGGTCTTATGCCACCCTCTTGTGTTGACAGTAAGTGATCTTAAATCTTATAAACTGGTATTGTCATCTGAGTCGTTCAGGAATAATTACCACCGTAGAAATGTATTTTGAGCAATTTTGGCGACTTCTTGTGAAGCAAGGGTGGCGCAGTGGTGAGAGCACTCGCCTCCCACCAAACTGGCCGGGGTTCAAATCCTGGCGTCAACGCCATATGTGGGTTGAGTTTGTTGTTGGTTCTCTCCCTCGCTCCGAGATGTTTTCCTCCGGGTACCCCGGTTTTTTCCTCTCCTCAAAAACCAACTCTTCCAAATTCTAATTCAATCTGGAACGCACGGACACGTTTAAAAGAGGGGTAAAAAAATTTCAACAATTTACAATTATTTTGAATAATGAATGGCTAGCGCTCAAAACGTCGGTGGCTAATTCACTTTGTAACATGAGAGGACACAGAGGCTTTTTACTGGAAGTACAATCCCACGCAGGGATGTTTTCTCCGCGGGCAGCTAATCCGACTTAATCCCATTTAATATGTCGCGCTCCTCGAAAGTGCGAAAATTTTCTTGTCGTGTATTAGATTTCAGATACATTTTCTTGATCTTCATTTCGCGCCAGAATAAATTAGTTTGCGCGCAAAGGGCTTCTAAAAAAATCACAAGGTTTGTCCCACTTCGAGTCTACCTTCTGGAGATACATCGGCTTGGTAGCTGGAATACATTGCCGAGGCGAAGATCTGGCATTTTTTTTTCTCCTCGTCGTATTTTCTCCACGACAAATGTTTATATTTGTAGTGAGAATGCAGCGCATATCGGTGGATTTTACTTCATGCGGCTTGCTACTTCTGAAAGAAGAGTGCCGGATTTCATCGTTTTGTTCATGTTTACTAGTGTTGGCTAATGTAAGGTAAATGAACCGACAACTGTAAGGTAAGAATTGAAGTTTTAAATTTGTTACTCGGCGAAAAATCGTGGAATTGGAATTCGTGACACCCGTGAGTATTACCTCTGTTACCTAATGTCATGCGATGACTCTCGCTTTTTCGATGCGTAACACGGATACAAGCGATAAATTTCTTTCGCAAAGTGAAGTATAATTTACTTAACGAGACCATTTGACGAACATTTCTCGTTGTATGCTTTATTTGCTTGGCTTATTCAGGCTACATGCCAAGAGTTTGATGACAATGTATGTGTGGGCTATAATTATGCTGATAAGTTTTTGGACCTTTATATTGAAACTTATGTAAGCCAACTTCTTAACTCTAGCAAAAAACTCTTCTATTATGGAGGAACTTTAAACGTCTTTTGGGGCCCAATATGGTGTCAATTTTTTTTTGGGAAACAAAGCTTGATTTTTGGCGAAACAGACTATAGTTTTTCTTTCTTTGAAGAGAGCGCGAGGCAAACGTCCGTGAGTACAGTGTAAGCCAGTAATTCTTTAGGTAGAGCTAACAAACATAGACTGCACTTTAGGTGGCACACCCATGGGTGCAGTGTAACCCAGTGATTCTTTAGGTAGAGCTAACAAACATAGGCTGCACTTTAGGTGGCACACCCATGAGTGCAAAGTAACCCAGTGATTCTTTAGGTAGAGCTAACAAACATAGGCTGCACTTTAGGTGGCACACCCATGGGTGCAGTGTAACCCAGTGATTCTTTAGGCAGAGCTTACAAACATAGGCTGCACTTTAGGTGGCACACCTATGGGTGCAGTGTAACCCAGTGATTCTTTAGGTAGAGCTAACAAACACAGGCTGCAGTTTAGGTGGCACACCCATGAGTGCAGTGTAACCCAGTGATTCTTTAGGTAGAGCTAACAAACATAGGCTGCACTTTAGGTGGCAAACCCATGGGTGCAGTGTAACCCAGTTATTCTTTAGGCAGAGCTTACAAACATAGGCTGCACTTTAGGTGGCACACCTATGGGTGTGGTGTAACCCAGTGATTCTTTAGGTAGAGCTAACAAACACAGGCTGCAGTTTAGGTGGCACACCCATGGTTGCAGTGTAACCCAGTGATTCTTTAGGTAGAGCTAACAAACATAGGCTGCACTTTAGGTGGCACACCCATGGGTGCAGTGTAACCCAGTGATTCTTTAGGTAGAGCTAACAAACACAGGCTGCACTTTAGGTGGCACACCCATGAGTGCAATGTAACCCAGTGATTCTTTAGGTAGAGCTAACAAACATAGGCTGCACTTTAGGTGGCACACCCATGGGTGCAGTGTAACCCAGTGATTCTTTAGGCAGAGCTTACAAACATAGGCTGCACTTTAGGTGGCACACCTATGGGTGTGGTGTAACCCAGTGATTCTTTAGGTAGAGCTAATAAACACAGGCTGCACTTTAGGTGGCACACCCATGGTTGCAGTGTAACCCAGTGATTCTTTAGGTAGAGCTAACAAACATAGGCTGCACTTTAGGTGGCACACCCATGGGTGCAGTGTAACCCAGTGATTCTTTAGGCAGAGCTTACAAACATAGGCTGCACTTTAGGTGGCACACCTATGGGTGTGGTGTAACCCAGTGATTCTTTAGGTAGAGCTAACAAACACAGGCTGCACTTTAGGTGGCACACCCATGGTTGCAGTGTAACCCAGTGATTCTTTAGGTAGAGCTAACAAACATAGGCTGCACTTTAGGTGGCACACCCATGGGTGCAGTGTAACCCAGTGATTCTTTAGGTAGAGCTAACAAACACAGGCTGCACTTTAGGTAGCACACCCATGAGTGCAATGTAACCCAGTGATTCTTTAGGTAGAGCTAACAAACATAGGCTGCACTTTAGGTGGCACACCCATGGGTGCAGTGTAACCCAGTGATTCTTTAGGCAGAGCTTACAAACATAGGGTGCACTTTAGGTGGCACACCTATGGGTGCAGTGTAACCCAGTGATTCTTTAGGTAGAACTAACAAACATAGGCTGCACTTTAGGTGGCACACCCATGGGTGCAGTGTAACCCAGTGATTCTTTAGGCAGAGCTTACAAACATAGACTATACAGGTGTACATCAGATGGCAACACGTTTTCCAGTTAAAACTTTGTCAGAAAGTGCTACGTGCTACGCCATGGCACTTCGACTATTTCTTTTTTCGCGCGCTTGATACATTGTTTTGACGCACAACTGATAGTCAGGAGAAGTCGTATTGTCTAAAACCATAGCAAAAGACAAATTTACACGCATCACAGAAGTAAGGTAAGGTAATACACGGTATTTCTTTCAGGTACATTTACATTCAAGTATAAAAAAATAACTACTAGTTACTAAGCTAGAAATGAATCTAAGATAAAAACTAAAAAAATAACGATATAACAATAAAAACCTGCTTTACATTGAGGCCTTGTGTAAAGATACATATATCTAAATTAAGGTTTTTTAATTTTTCTTTCAAAACATTATTGCCGCACCTTCAGAGACAAGCTGTTCCACCATACTCTTCCGTTATAAGAAAGGCTTCTTTTTTAAAATTCAGTGCGGGGTTGAACAGCGAGCTTGTATTCATGCATTTTCTGTTAGGTTATAAGCGATCAAATCGCATGCAGCGACGAACAAAACGCGAAGCCGTCAGATATGCTAGAACCGTGTTATTTACAGCAGTGCTGTGCATTATTATTGCTTAACTAACTAACTACGCGCCGATGGAAATAAGTTTCGGCCGCTTTAAATTTTGAAACAATTCACTGGTACTGTATAGTCATAATATTGGAGCGGAAAGTTAGCACGCGAGCAGGGCGACTCTGCTGTAGTTTCTGCAATGTAGAAGATATTACGGCAATGAGCTCCCCAGGTCCTTTCCCGAAATCACAACTACATGTAGGATGAAATGTATTCTGCGTCTCCTTTTCCAGGTTAGGTTAAATAAACCCGTACCAACGGTTTGTTTGACAAAGCTCCCGGTTTTTTAGTAATTTTATTAATTTTTCCGATCCATTTTTTTTAATCTTTTTTTTCGCGACTTTTGCGATACAAACTAAATTCATTTTTAGTTGTGATGGCATTACTGCTTAATCATGACGGCTTTGTGAACTACAACCTAAGAACCCGATTTATTTTGACCAGATCGAAACAAAACTGACCTCTGAAATGGAAGAAGAAAAGCCTTTTATTTTTGCCGGCTTCAGTCTGCCGACGCGATCGTGTCTGGTTTGCTTTCATATGATGACATTTTCCTGACAGAAGGGTGTCGGGTAAAACACCTCGCGCTGATCATACGTGACAAAATCCGCCGCGCCTAAGCTAATGAAGAAAAGTCTCCTAGAAAGCTCCATACAATTCCTTATAACAAAATTATAAGGAATTGTATGGAGCTTTCCGGGATACTTACAGTGCAAGCCCTGTGTGTCTCCTCATGCACTATCCTTAATCCAAATTTCTATCTTTAATTCCTAGACATTGCATTGAGTTTCAGACCTGGATCGCGGTTGTGTCGAATTGCATTATGGGACGAGGTTGGGCAGGAAACTGGGTCAAGGTTTTTCCCTCAAAACAGTTTCATAATGCAATTCGACACTACCCTGGACCAGTCTCACCCTCATAATGCGCGGCCAACGAAAAACTGGACATCAACGTTGACCTCCACATTAATGACCACATTTTCGCGAAACTCGACATGCGTAACTGCCTAACTCTTCTGCGACCTGTACATCTTAACCTAACACTTTTAAAATACCTTACAAGTAACCTATTAGGCCAATTTTATGTATTATTTGTTCCCGGGCTGAACCACAAGCACAGTGTGACCGCTTTTGTTTGTACGTGTTGACCTGAAGAAGCCTCGTACGAAACAACCCTCTGTAGGCAATCAAGTTTGTCAATATCGTTACCGTGAATTTGAAAATCATTTAAAACCGCGGCTAGGATAAGCTCATTCAGCAGAGCGCTTGACTGCGGAGCAGGAGGTCGCGAGTTCGATTCCCCGGACCGGACCAATTCTCAGGGTCTTAAAGTAACTGAGAAATGAAGGTACTACCTTTGCCCTGCAAGCGGCGAGACCTTAGAGTCATTAAAATGTCATTCATCAGGAAAGTAATCGCTTTATTTCATTAACAGAGTGTCCTACAGGAAAGTATGGTTATAAGTGCCAGCAATCGTGCATGTGTCAAAACGGTGCGTCATGTGATCCAGTCTCTGGTGCTTGCAGTTGTACAGCAGGCTGGCAAGGTGTCTTCTGTGAACAAGGTAGGTGCCTGCATGTAACTGCCAGCGCTGGCAGGGCCTTGAAAGATGAAGTGAAAAGGGCGACCTTTACGTCCATTTGATAATATGTGTATGAAATTAGGGCCTGTCAAAATTAAATGAGGGAGCTTAATAAGAAATGACGATGACAAAACAACGTCCAAACAAGATTTGGTTTTTGAGCAAAACAAAAGCTCTGCACCTGCATCACGCGTCTTTCACGTCCACTGCACGACTACGACGAGAAAACCTCCTAATTAGACGTTTTATCGAGGTCGTGAACATACAACGACGAATTTTCCTTTCTCTTTATAACCTGAATAAAATCCTTAAGAATTCAACTCCAGGAAAAACCGCGTACCTTTGACAATTTGAGCGGATGAAAAGACGCAAATTCAGTTTTTTTAATTCAGCGACATCTTTACTGCCGTTGTCGCGGTCACTGCTCCCTAATAAAGGCTTGCCACAGGCAATGTCGAGCCAATATGACCATTCGTCATTTTGGCCGGACACGTACTGTAAATGGATTTGAGTGTATTTGTTTTGAAGTACGCCTTCTCTATAGGAGGAATTTTTTTTTCTTCCATTAAGCTGTTACGTTTAAAGCTCGTGGTTTAAATTGTTATTATATTATTTTTAATATTTTGGACATGACCGGTTAAAAAGAGACTTGACCGAGCTGAATTCTCTTTGGCCAGCCCTGAAAAATTTGTGCGTTATTTGTAGTGAAGAAACCCATATTTGGACCGGGAAAATCAGAAACTACTACGTGGAGGAAAAGTGAACGTGAAGAATCTTATTTTCATATGACAGGATGAGCACCCGGGCTTGCTAGAAAATAGGCTAGAAACTGACGTAGATCAGAAGTACTGCGGATATTTTGAAGGATAAATTGATGTCAAACTTGGAAAATCTTGAATACTTGAAACATTTTAGGAATGTTGATTGTGTAGTGACCAAAACAAATATCAGCACACGCAAGTAGACCTCAAAACTACAAAATAACTTGCTTCTTGCGGTTCAGTTTTCTCACGCCTAATTGGCTTATTCCCTGCAGCACAAAGATACTCTAGAAATATGTTTGGTGTTCACGAGTTTTTTAGTTCTAAAGTTAGGGTCCGTCCAAGATTTTGTCTTTGGCTTTTAAATATGAACGAGATTTGAGAATTGATGGTGATGCGTTTGTTCGTTGCAGGCTGTGCTGACGGTTGGTATGGCCCAGGCTGCAACAGTAGCTGTGATTGTCTGCACCACTCCACCTGTCATCACGTGACTGGAAAATGCACTTGCAGTGCAGGCTGGGAAGGCGTCATATGCAACAAGTGTACGCATACCGTTAAATTACTCCCTTAAGTGCGTATAAATGCAAGCGTTTATGTTCAACTAATCAAGTATCAGTTTGCTTTGTGGAACTGATGTATGTGTAATCAAATGGTGACGAGTGAAATTAGGGAATAATTTCACGCGCGTTTTGTCCAAATTCTGGACAAAACGCAAGTGAAATTATTCCCTAATTTCACGAGTAAACCATTTGATTACCTATTAATATCACGGATCACAAATTACGCCCATAATCGTAGGTTTTTGACATGTTTTTCAAATTGATCATCGATCGAGAACTCCACTCACTGAAAACGTTAGAGCTTAAATTTTTGCTTAAGTTCATAATTTTCAGAAATTTTCGACAAAATACCTGATAGAATTCTTCCTGATTTGCTCTTTCGTATGTTTAGGTATTCTAAATCATCTTTTAATGCCATGACATCTTCATTCGTAACATTTTGAAACTTTGCCGCCATCTTGGTACTGATACGTACGGAACGTTGCCTTGAAAACTTTGTAATTTCACATGAGAAATTATAAATTAACGATGAAGTCTCCTTGTACGAGGACCCATTCGGTTGGGTGACCCGCACGGCGGCTAAAAAAGAGTACAAACGGAAGAAAAGAGTTACGTTAAATAATATTCCGTGCTCAAGAAACCGGTCAGCCTTTTCCCTGCAAATAGCTAGATCTTCATGTGGCTCGGATGACCATGTAAAATGGCGGTCCCTTCTCCCGTTGGAGGCGTATTAAAAATAGTGTCGTCAACGAGCACTTTCGAAGTAAATACATTGACAATCAAACAAGAGAGAATATTGGGACACAGAGAGTAACGCCCAGTTTACCCCTTGGGATATGTGAACTATTTCACCAAAGTTATTTTTAGACCAATTAAACGCTTCAATTAATTGGAAGTTGGTTTCCAGAGAGGTCCGCAAACTTTTATATCAGTGTTGTCAAGAGAGAATTCAATAGTCGCCATTACATTATTCTGCATTTTTTTTTGCTTTGAGGCAGTTGCGCGTGGACTTGATGACATTTCAAACAATCGATTAAAATCTGCGGACGTCCCATTGTTCTCTCCTGCACTCAAACAAAGTGCATTTTTTTGCAGTTTCAGCTTCCCATAAGCTGTTACCCACGATATAGTATAAGTTAGTATGTACAGAGGCAAAAAAGGCCCACAGGTACTTACCTACTCACTTAAGTTCATTTTTGTTGTGCTCTTTTTCAGCATGCGACCCTGGCTTCTATGGACTTGGTTGCCAATCTGCTTGTCAATGTTATAAAGATAACACAATGTCTTGCGACCATATTGACGGCCTTTGCTTGTGTAAACCGGGATGGACTGGGGACGAGTGCACGTTGTGTATGTTATTGTGTTAGAGATCGAATGGAGTGTTTTCACATGACGTCACGGCGGCCATGTTGGTGTCCCAAACCAGTCCTGTGGGAGTTGAACTCTTTTCTTATGCAAACGCTTTCTTTTGTTCCAATAAATTTGCATAGATGCTGGCCACGTGAGTGAAAACACTCTATAGTATGGTATATGTCGGTCGGTTTTAGTTTGGTGGATGCTACCTTTCATTGTTGCGGCTGACCAGCGAAGCCTGCAATCCTAATCTCCAGGGTGCTATTACTCGATAATGAAAGAAACAAATTTAAATGGAAAAATAACTAGGTTAAGAATCCCAACGGGTAGGAGGCGAACCAGTTGGCTATTTACAAGCGTGGCCTAGGATTTGAACTCGGGACAATGAAGAACAAATCCAGCTAGCGGTCAGGGTAAAACCTGAAATCAGAGCCTCCAGATTACAAGTCCAGCGCTCTACCGCTTGGCCACGCTACCTCCTTCTAATCTGAACATGCGTGTTTGGAACTTCTGTCACTTGTAATCTGATCACGCGCGTTTTGACTTTCTATCACTTGGAACTTACGCAAAGCATAGCGTTGCACAGCAAGAGCGTTTTGACCTTCGATCGATCTCGCCGCATTCCTTATTAAACCTTTTGTTATTACTAGTCAAAATAGTGTAATCTCAAGCAAGAAAACTGTGTTACTTTATAATTGACATGTTTTCTAGTCTGCCCGAAAGGAACGTTTGGTGCTGGTTGTTTACAAGACTGTGCATGCATAGAGGCTTCTACCGAGAACTGTGATCACGTGACTGGTGCATGCACCTGTCTGGAGGGGTGGATTGGTGACGAGTGTGAAAAACGTAAGCGAAATGTGATACATGAAATTATACGATCAACGTAAGCAATTAAAAGGTTCAAACCTGATCTCGTTAAGAGTAAAAGAGTTTTGATTTGTTTCTCTTGCAGGTTGTGATTTTGGTTACTATGGTTACAAGTGTAGGAAGAAATGCCAGTGCAGTTTTCCTAATATGGATAAAGAATGTGACCACGTGAACGGACTGTGTAACTGTGAACCTGGATACACCAATCCATACTGCAATCAAAGTAGGTCACGTGCCCTACCACAGGCTTGCTGCCATACGTATGTAGTGTACACTTCGTCACGATCAAACGAGAGAAATTTGTTAAAGATCAGACTTGCTACAAGTCGATCTCTCGTTAGTTCTTTTAGGAACTCTTAAAAAAGCGAGCGAAGCGAGATTCAATTAGGTCGCCCAGCGAATTCGTGAGGTCGACTTGTTTCGCTTGAATGAATATGTATCATATAAATTCACGCGGGAAAAATGATTGACATATTCTTTGTCTGCAGGGGCGTCAAGTATCATTCACCCTCTTATTGGTCAATTGTCATGACGTCACCGGTGACGTCATGACTTGCATTTCATTCCTTAAGAGGCGTAGGGTTCTCGCTTATTTCATTTGTGTTAGTTTTTAAAGAAACTAGGGCTTAAGTTTCTGTCAAGGAGGCCGAAAACAATCTTCTCTATTGATCGAAAATATGAGTTTCTTTCTGGTCCCAGAGCCCGGAATGACCTCTAGCTGAGTCAAACTGTAGCGATACCTGGGCAGTTGACTTTGACAGGATCCCCTGCTCCGAGTCGATCGGAGTCGCCTTCTCACTCAGTGTTCTTTTCTCTGTTTGTAGCCTGCCCTAAGGGCAGTTATGGATTCAGATGCGAGGAGAAGTGTCTCTGTCAAAATAATTCAACTTGTGATCCTGCATTTGGTTATTGTCACTGTCTGCCGGGGTTTCACGGCAAGTTCTGCGATGAAGGTTGGTTATTTTGCTTTTAGCCTTAGTCGTCTGCCTACTTTTAGCCAAACCCTCCAGTCCCACCCCTTATCAATGAATGAATGAATGAATGAATGAATAACATTTACTTTATTTATACAAGGTAGTAATTTCAACATACAAAATTGGTGTTCAAATTAGCCGTGTCAAAAATAATTTGAGATAATACTAACTATATTATGACGTTTTAAAATTATCGTTTCGAATACTATAAGTAGATGGGATAGTAAGTTATTTATTTTAAAAAAGCAATAATGAATATATCTTATTGGCCGGTTTAGTGTGTCGTATCGTAGGATATTTTTACGAGTCACGCCGTATTTTGGCAAGCCTGTTGGGCGAGTCAAAATACAAGAGCCGAGAAACAGGTCGTTTCTTTTTCGTTTATGAGTCGTTTCGATGCAAGTCCTTTCGATATACGTCGTTTCGATACGAACTCAAGAAATGAAAGTGCATGAAAATTTCAATCACTTTAAGTATAGTTTGCGCGTGAACAAGAATGTGATATATTCCTCGTTCTTTAAGTCAAGTACGTGAGACTATTTACACCTCGACTGAATCAACTTTAATCGAAACGATTTTGTATTTATATCGAGGCGACCGGTAACTATCATAACAATGTTGCTTAGTGTGTTCCTGTTTTCACGTCAGGCGTGACTACAGGAAGTGTTCCCAACAACTTCATGCCACCCTTCAGTTCTGAAAGGCGTAAATTCCTTTTCTGTAAAAATCTTCCAACATTTGTGTGTATTTTTCTTTTAGTCGTACCTCAAGTTAGCACTGTTGGTCCCAGTTCGGGTAATAGGAACTCGTCCAAAACAGACCGCTCAGAAGGGTCTGGTTCTAGTTCACTGGTGACACCTGTGGTTATTGCTGTCGTGGTTGTTATGGTAGCCATCATTTTAATTCTTGTGTTGGTTTACTTGAGGCGGAAGCGACTGATGATGGTCAAGACAGGAGGAAAAAGGTGCGAACTGCGGTAATTTTGGTTGAACGTTATGCAGTAAGCATTTTCTTAACTTCAAATGCAAAAACATTACGAATGAACTGTTCTATAGAAATGCGAATTTTTGCTATATATGTCTTTGAATTTTTTTCATGTACTGTATTTAAGTGACGCAAAGAAGACGAAGAAATACCAATAAGTTTAGCACAGTTCTCAGTGAAAACGCGGCGCTTATACTTGAAGCTTTGAGTTCAATAGAATGGGTCATTCTTTGAAGATTAAAAGAACGGAAATGTACATCAATATTCTTCACTTACAACTTAAAAACAAACAAACAACGGGGACATCAATGACATGCGGACATTTGCGGGAAATGTTGTCCAAGAGACTGATGGTAAGGTAACCGGTCAAGTCGCTCGTAAGTCATCTCCCCTGAAGTTATGTCGCCTGAAGCCAGAGTTAATTCGCTCAATATGCTGCGTTATGTCGCCCGAAGGAAAGAGTGTATGTAATATATCTCGTTCTTTAAGCGATAATGAGATGAAATTAACAAGCGGGATAAAGATGTAAGGATGTTGTTGGGCATGATAAAATTTCGGGCGACTTAACTCTGCACTTCGGCTGACTGAACTAAAAAGTTAGGTCGACGTAACTTCGGGCGACATGACCTTTGGGCGACTTGACCATAAACCGATTGTAAGACCTAATCCCTACGGTACTTTGCTATTTTCAAGGTCTGTTATCCCTGTGTTTGCATTTTCTAGAGGAAAGATCATTGCAAGCGCCGGCTTTGAGTGGTTCCGAATTAAACCTTTGAAAATTACTATCGAGATAACGCGGTGCATCTTTTTGGAAAACTTGGACAAAAACTTCTCGAGTTTAGGTCATAGGAAAGTTACGAGTTCTTGGAATAGGTTGGGACGTTTTCAAGTAACTGTTCTCTTTTTATATTTTTTTGTTCTTTTCTCACTCAGCTTTTCTGTAAGAAGACTTATTAGATCCCGAAAGACAAATGGTAAGTCTTGGAATGTGTCGCTTTTTGACGAAATGTTGTTGATGTTTAACATTCGTTAAGTAATAATAATGCTGTCGACGGGTGAACAATATATCCGACAGGTTTTAAAAAGCAACAACTTGTTCCTGAGTACGGAAACGTAAGATCCCTAAACAACGTATAATTTGCATTGGACCGAATTTATAACTTCGAGAATTTTATTTAGGAAAAGACTGAAATCACATTTTAGTTAATCTATGAATCGTTCGTCGTTTTAACCATATAGTTATAGTCATTTATCAGTTTATCTCATGCTCATAGTCTTTTAACATTTTATCTTATAATCTTAGTCATTAAACTTCCTATCGTATCCTATACTTTTACTTTTCGTCTTTTAGTTGTTTGTTTGTTTATTTATATTTTATTTTATTTTATTTATTTTTTTACAGGACCCCATTGACAACGGTGTTTTTAAACACTAATGGGTTTTTGATTCTGTTAAAATATTCATTATTATTATTATTATTATTATTATTATTATTATTAATATTTTTATTATTATATGATAAAATTGTAATAGTCTACTTTTCACTGGGTTAAGGTGACGAGGACGAAGACCGCATGACTGAAGACGTGTCAGTCAATCCTATTTACGATATTGGAGATATGCCCATGGACTCCCTCCATCCCTCTGGGGACCGACCCACATCTCCGACGATGAAATCTCTCACTAATCCAAACTACGAGTGCACTTTAGACGTCGGAGTTCAGCGCGAAAGAGTGGCTAGTAATCCAATATATGAGACAGGGGGCGTTGTACCCGACAGAGGAAGTTCTCATGCTGATGTAAACCCGCTGTATGAATCTGGGCCAGTCGTAAGCACCTCGGCAAAGTCCGGAAGCGTGGCTAATTCAAATCCTCTTTACCAGTCTGCCACTTCCTACCGCAGTCAAAGCGACTTGAACCCCTTGTATGAGGGGACATCAGATGTGAGCCCGCTTGTCGATTCAGCAACAACGGCCGAGGTAGCGAAAGGAGGAAGCCTGCGGCGACGTGTTGATTCACGATCGAAAAGGGAAGGAAAAGAAGGCAGAGAAGACGAATTGCCGATCATTGATGCAGTATGGACTGGTAATGATGATTCAGACGGCCTTGGAGTCTCCAACATGGGAGCTGATATCACGTTTAATGAGCTGTACGGAAACGTTGAACAACCTCATTCTTCTCCACATGAAGGTGAACCTGACGTGCCCCCAGTACCCCCTAGACAGCATGCCAAACGCTCTTGATGCCTCTGATAGTTAGGTAGGAATAGTATTGCTAATGAACAGGAAAGCACCGCTGATAACACGGATGTAGAGCTTAGTAAAGGTACGAAAAACGGGCAACAAAAAACGTGCAACTTGTTTTGCGACGTTGCTGCAAAACGAGGTAAAAACAACGACAAAAACAAAACCGTTGCAACCTTATTTGTTGCGAGACAAGTTTGTACGTGGGTGGTAAAACGTGCAACATTGCTATTGTACTCGTTTTGCAGCAGTGTTGCAAAACAAGTTGCACGTTTCTTGTTGCTCCTTTTATTGTAGCTTAAAACACTAACATCTATTCTTCCAATAGCAATTTATTAAAATATAGTTAAAACCAAGTATTTTAAAATATATTTTAGACAAATTGTACTTAAACAGAATTAAAAAAAATGAATTTCAAAATTGTCTTTAACCGGAGGGCAGGCTTTAGTAAAACACTAACATCTATACCCCCGGAGCAATTTTTTCAAAGTAGTGATCAATATTAATACATTTTATTGTACTTATACAATATTCGAAAAAAGATTTTCAAAATTGTCTTTAACCTAAATTATAACTGGATATTATGTTGAAACCTCTAAATATCATAAATTATTTTAAGATTTTAAGCATTTGAATCGTTTTTTAGGTAGATGATCTATTTGAAGAAACGTTTTTTGTACTCGCTTTCACCAAATATCATAATGTATATTTTACTAGTATCACAAATTCAGTGTTCTATTTGTAATTTTTCCATTAAAATGTGTTGAAAACGAATTTAAGGAAGTTCTGTTAGAATAAGCCATTTTTTTATTGTTTTTATGGCCTTTTGAAGATTTTAATTTATCTTTGCCACGTAGTGGTGCTCTTTATGAAGATAACAGGTAACTGTTTATATAATCTTGTTCGACCCAGGCTTGCCTACCTTATTTTCAGTACTAATGTCAATGTGAAGTATTTTTACATTGCATGTCTTTTAGTTTATGTACTTTACTGTGTTTTTGTTGAAATGGAACTGCATCAGTGTGTGTTTAGTTTTGAGTTAATCTGTTAGACTGAGGTACTGCTTACTCGTTAGGTGCATTTTTCAGCTCGAAGATTCTAATAATCTGCAGTGTCTTTGTTGCGGATTTTTTTTACTGTATTTATTTTTTGGCATTGCAAGCACAGATTTTTATTCCAAGTCAAACGTACTGTTACGAAATGAAGGTTTTTGCTGTCCAAAGTCCCCAATAAGACGTCAAGTCAAAAGAGATGGCAGAAAGACAACAACAACAATAATAATGATAATAATAATAATAATAATAATAATAATAATAAAACAGTTCATCAAGTTAGTCGCAAGGAAACTAAAGCTTTGCCAACTGGCCGAAACACCCTACCGAATGCTACCTTTTAGTCACGTATGAAAAGCTGATTTGTGTACCGGAAAAGTAATGCGAATGATGCCCCGCTGTAAATCCAAAGCAGGAGTCACCCTTGTAGAGCCATATCCACGAACTGTTAAGACCATAAACTTTATTTTATTCAAACCTTTCACGCCGGAGGAAGGATTAGCGCAGTCGGTTAGCACGCGGCCTTCAGTGCTGATCGTTCCGATTTTGATTCCCAGGTGTGACCTCAAATCCTTCTTTCGACTTCTCTCGCTCCTCGCCGCCTGTGACGTTGGTGAAACGTCCCAGGCGGCGAGGAGCCAGAAGAAACGGCTCTTTTCGCAGGCTATGTTACCTAGTTACCGACGTAAAATAAATACCTTAACCTTAACTTTTGCTTGAAGTTATATTTGTAACTGGGTTAAAGGCAAAGTAAACTAGTGTTTTCCTGCTTGCCCGCAGATATAATCAATTATTTTTCGTGTCCGTATGATATGCCGGCCCACTGATATTATAGTGTACACGGCGAGTGCTTGGAAAAGGGAAAATACCGTCACCCCAACTGTATTGTCTATGGGTTGCACGTACTTAATGGGCGGTATGCCGCTAGCACATCCCTTGGGAGCGGCCGGCCGGTTTTTGTCCCAACACACTTCAGTTTGAATAGCCCGGTGGTCACGGTCGGACAGCGACACCGCCCCAAGCTAACTATTCAGTCCGGCCAGACGTAGCTGACTTTGAATTTTAACCTTTTTCAGATCGGATTTTCATTTTAGCAAGTACTTCAAACCTGGTAGTAACCACGCGAAAGAGGTTTGATTTGAGTCCTCACACCAAAGGATCTTATCCACAGGCTAAAGTTAGAACTATACAATCCGGCTGTCTCCATCATTGGCTACGGGAGCGTGTCTCTTACTTGTAACAATTTCAGACATAAGATTCAGTGACTTTGCAAGTTTATCCCAACAGCAATGGAGAGTAGTTCAAGCTCTAAAAGTTAGTGGAGTCTGCGACAGCGTACAGGTCATGCCCATTAAATTTTGTCACCATTTCAAACGTTTGATTCGTGCAACAAGCACTGCTTTGAACAATGTTGAATATCAGTGAATGAAACCATGCGGGGCAACTCTTCTCTGTTCTGTAGCGCTCAATTTTGCTGTTTATGTCGCAAAACTTTTGAGCAAAATGTTTAAATTTTATTGTTTCTTCCATTTGCTGAAGTTTGCATGACCTTTGCGCAATTAGAGTTAGCTGAAAAGAACTCCCCTGAGAACTTTTGGGCGGGGTCCTTCTGCGATAGGTCAGTGCTCTCCTTTGGTCGCGTCGTGCGCCCTTGTTGCGACTTTTAATCTTTTAAGTCAATCATTTGTGCTGTCAATCATGATCCTCGCTCCTGTGTTGGTTGCACTAAAAACTCGTGTGAGACTTACCTTTCTTTAAGAATTATCCGTCAGCTCCGAGAACCATTTTCTTCTCGAGTTTGCAGCGCTTCTGTTATAAATTACGCTTGATATCTTCTCCCTTAGTGTACATTTATCGAAAGCTAATTTCGAAGTTTTCTATAACGTCTAATTTCAATGACAAAGCATTTTTTAATTGGGCAGAATGCTAACAAGCAGTGCGCATCCTATTGGCTGCTAACACCTTGTTTTGTCAACGTTCATTTGCGTCTTGTAAGTACGCATGCGTGGTGGCTCGTGACCCATGTGCTGGCCTGCTTGATAACAGGAGTTATGACGATAAAGTGGGCATTAGTGTGATCGCGACAGGATCAGGCCAAGCTCTGCAACTTGGCACCACAAAAGAAGCTGATATTTTCCAGTTTCAGCCATGCAGGGCTCAAGCGAAGTCATTATGGAACGATCGAAGCCTTTAGGCACTGAATTGGTCGTGAGTACCTCTTCGACTGTTGACATGACCTGTGGACATCCTGAGCTTCTTCAATCCCCAGCTATCCCAGTGTCTTTGAAGACAGCTGCCTCTCCGAGCCCTATGGATTGCGAGTTGGAGGAAGCTGATGGCGCAAACGTTGGCCTTGAGCAAGCTCTTCAATCGTTTGTAAGGTACGCAATCACAATTGATTTATTGTCACATCGCGATTAAATATTTGGTCCACGTTCTGGGAAAACTGCGCAAAGATCGTCTGTGCCCAGGTGGTTGCATTAAATTTGTAGATCACGCTAGGAACTTGGTGTTCTTTTTTACGTGAAGGTTAAAACTGAACGTTGTAAAATTTATTGTGAATTTTATATGGGGTTCTTCGCGTTGTCGATATAGGCAGGTCATAATCCCACTGGATTTCGACTCCTTGACTTGCGCATATTTTGACTGCTAATTGCTGGCCGTAAACTAAATTTACCGATTGAAGTCATTTATTAGGGTTTGTTTTTGTCGAGGAATTGGCGATGGTTCGAAGCCATGTGTGTTGCTGTTAAGGGCAGATGTGATTCGCTTATGTGGGAAGTCGTTCAGTTGTTTTTTCCGCTCTGCACGTGGCTTATGAAAAAAAAATTCATTCATTCGGTTTTCCACGATCGAGGAATTTCAGAGAAATTGCTTTAGCTAGACCGATCTCCAAGATGAGCAAACTAAACCAAGATGTGGCTGTTTACGGGCTTATTCTCGTCTTGTTTACAAGGTTGTTGTAATTAGCAGCGAAATAAAATGGACAGCTCCATCGTTTGACATATACAACCTTTTAATGTTTTTTGTTTTGTAAACACAGAAGGCGTTTATTTGAGAAATTCATTCCTCGCTAAATACGTTACACCAAAAGAGAAAAACTCTATCAAACTTACGATCAGTGAAGTTTATTTAGTATTTATCAATCTTTTTCGTTCAAAGTGTCCCCTCGTTGAATGAATGGATGCAAATCACTTTTCTTCTTAATTTTTCGCTGCATGATTTTCGTTTGTTTCCCATTAGCTCAATGAAGCGTGATAATGTTCGGTCAAACCTCATTTCTTACGACTATTTTGTCATCTGCGGGTAAACGTTCGGTGCGGTTGATCGCCGACCTCGCGTGTCAAAGTTTGTAATCGCGTTTAATAGTTCTGAATGCAGATAAAACACCGAAAAATCTTCTTTGCGCGTTTTTAACTCGTGAGCTCACATGGTGGTCGAGCAACTTCCTTTTCACCCATCCGTAGCGGGACTAAAATTAGTTTAGCGAAACCCTAGTGAGCTCAATTCCAATGACGTAGAAGTAATTTCAGTGTTCTTAACCCGTGAAACTCCATCGTACTTTTGCCATGGTAATACTGAAATAAAGAAACACTTGCAAACAAGTTACCGTAATATTTAAAAATATTTTCGTGAGATGTGCGGCGATGGAGTCAAATCTTCAGCAAACATGCTGTCAAAGGGGTCGGCATCGCCGTACATTTCACATGCCATCCAATTCAATGAAACACGTGTAGATAGTGATTATCAGACAACTTCAAAAGTCAGGTGCTTCTGATCAAATATACGTTATAATACCTTTTCATGCAAGCAATTATTTCTTTAGATCTTTTCACCTCCTTGTCTGGGCGGGATTTCGACGAAGTCAGTCGAAAAAAGTTTGCAACGAAAAAAGGAAAAACAGAAAATCGCATTCACATGCCATTTTTAAAAAATTAGTTTCTTTCTAACACCCTTTTTTCGCCAATTTTTGAAAGATATTGATGTCTTATCGTTATTTCCCATGTTCGTAATGAGTTTCGCGGGAAGTTTCGCGCGAAGAATTAAAGGACGCTCGTCTCGTTTTTTAATACAGCTTTTTGTCGCTTTAAACAAAAGCCTTCCATTTATGAGCTTACGGAATTGCAAAATCTAAATGATATTCACGAAAGATTAAAAACATAATATTTTTAGCCCAGAAATACAATCGTGCTTTCACTTTGGGCAGTTTTGGAAGATTTGAAACTGACAACGCCTGTTTATTTCGTGTTCATGGAAATGATCGAGGGGAAGGTTCTTTTTTGAACGTGACACGAAGTCCGTACGCTGTGAAATGCAGCATGTCTAGGGGCTTTGTTCGACCATGTGTTCCACTGTTTGATCATCCATTTGGGTCGTGGGAACGGGGTTTTTATTGTTTTCATATTAAAATATTTGCCTTGTATATTTACTTGCCCTGTATTGCGTTTTAAATGACTTAGGTAAAACGGAGCATTTTTTTTTTGCGGATTTTATTGCGCAATTTAACTTGCGCCTCAAGGTTTTTTTTAAATTCAGTTACTGGTGAGTGCATAGGGATTTAAAAAGGTGGGCTCTACTTATTTAGAATTTAAATGTTAAGTCGTCCGAAAAGTTAGACTTGCTTTAAATTACACAGGTGAATAAGTCAAAGATGATAAATTCATTTCAAGATTGTGCTAAATGTCCTCATTAAGATTTTTCAAGTGAATATATTGTGAACAAGAATTTTTTTTTTCATGTTTTGATGAAGACGCCAGGTTATTTTGACTACTCAGCAGAGACTTGGTGAGCTCCAAAATACCCATTATTTTTTTAGGCTTATATTCAGGGGTGGGGTTATTTTAAATTACACTATTACCAGCTTACTGTGAATTTCCATCACATTGGTGACCTTCAAAATGACTTACTAGCTGGCATTGTAGTCTTGATGGTGAAATTTTTGTATGTGTAGAAACTAAATTCTGTTAAGTAATTAAAATCCTAAAGTTTGTTTTTTTTTTAACTAAAAATTTGTGATTTAAATAATGTTTTGTTATCTTATTGGTTAAAGTAATTTTAAGTGGAATTGTAAGAAACAAAATGCTGCAGCCATTATAAATATTTCTATTTATCAGATGACTTAAACAGTCATCCAGGCCAGGTGGCTATTATTACAGTTTTTATTTGATATTTGATTTATCACCTGTCTGAACAAAATGTGTTTTGCTGTTTAAATGGTGAATGTTGTAGACAGCTCTTGTCTGTCTCAGTTAAAAGTGCAAATGAATTTTTTAACAGAACTAGTTTTTTCTAAAAAAAAAAAACAACAACAACAACAACTACTGATGAATACCTCTTTACATTGTCATACTATTTATAAACACAATTAAGCTCTTTATGGATTACAAGGTTAAGAATATGTAATTGAACATCTCCAAGTTTTGTGTGAACAAAAGCACTGTTCTGTTGAGCAAAGATGCTAATTATGATGGTAGAATCCTATTTTAATCACACATACAATTTGATCTAAAATTAAATTAAACATGTCCGTTGGCACTTGGGCAAATTACAATGTTTCTACATTGTAATTGAAGAGGAGGTAGCGTAAAAACAACACTAAAATTGACTAGCTATACTTACTTCTATGACTGTCTTCATATTTAGCCAAAACAGTTCACCTTTTATACATCTGGTTAGCAACTTCTGGTTATCAATAAATGGTTTAGCGAATGCATAGTCAGCTTAAATTAGTCTAAGAACTGAACTCAACACTTGCTATGCAACTTAAAATAGGCTGGCTTGTGCAAATAAAAGTTCATGTAACATTTTAAATTTAAACAAAGTGCATACAACATAAACTTAAACAGTGTTTGCATGCACGTTTGACTTGAATAGTCAAACAGACTGTTTTATAGCAAAACAAGCACCAGCCACTGCATTGTCTGCAAAAATATTTTAGATTCATGAATCTTGCATGTGGATGAAAGTTTTGACAATTTTTCTAGCTAAAGATGAAGCATATTCAGCCTTCAATTTTTTTTTTCAGCAAGGAGATACAAGAGAGGATCCAAAAAATTCTGGTAAATATAATGCCTTTATTCTCTGTTGATAAGTTTTGTGACTGTTTAAGAGGCCTTCCAGGGGGTGGAAGCAGCAGGCGACATGGCGCCAATGACTAGCAACAATCCTCTCAGAAAGCACCGTCATAAGCTGAAAAGAGGAAAGAATTATGGCAGCAATAATCCATTTTCTAAGTAGTGAAAGTGACTTCCATTCACTTTTGCATTTTGGCTGTATAGGCAGCGAGACAACAAACTCTCTTCCATTATATGCTGTGAATTCCAAATTGATCAGTATCACAAAATTTAATGCCAAACCAAAAGCAACATTTTCATCCTGGTTTTAAGGGGACCTGGGACATTCTTTTCCTTTAACCCTTTAAGCCCCAGTATCAACATACAAATTCTCCAAACTGATCTCCATACATTTCCTTAAGGAATTACTTGAGAGAATTTGATGATAGATCAGGGCATTTTCTCTCACGTGATCATTTTATTAATTCTTATCACTTATCTCTTGACAGTGTATGGATATTGTTAGGAGAAAATTGATCTTGGTCACTATTGGGACTTAAAGGGTTAACATACCAGGTTGACAGGCAGTATCAGAAATGACCAGACCGCATACTAATAATTTTACATATTATTAAATTATTTTACAGGAAGAGGTACAACAGCTGTCAGACACTGAAAAATTGTTGCTCTATCTTCGACTTCCTGGTGAGACAGCCTCTGAATCCAAAGATGATTTTGATCAGTAAGTCTTAAATAATTATATCTAATTTGTTAACCAGGGGTAAGACAATTCTGGTGAAATGATCAACCTGAATTCTTGAGTACATAGAACTTTTCACACTTAGGTAAAGAAATACCAAAAACAAGATAGTGAGATGTTTTGCAAGGATGGTGCTGATCAGGGAAGATGAAAAAATGGTGGGTTCATTACTTCGTGGAAGCAGGAAGGTTTTTTTTCATATTGTAATGTTTGGAAAACATTGGACTGGAGACAAACTTGTTCGTATGAATTAATTATTTGCTCCTTTTCTGATAACTGTATATTTAGTTTCGTTGTTTGGTAAAAAATATTGAAGAAATATATCTTTAGTCTGTAAATCTTTTGTTGTAAATTTTAAAGGATTTAAAGGTTGTTAATGTCTTACTTTAATAGAAATCAAAGTCTTCCCATCTCTACTACAAGAGCAGAACAAACACAAGCATTTCATTGGTGAGATTTTTTTGTTGTGATGGTGTGATACCTTTACCCTGTTGAAATTTTATGATTGATCAATTTCCTCAAATATTATTTTGTTCAAATAGACAGACTACAAAGTATATAGTTGAATATCCAACAAAATACCTCTGCAGAACAAACCTAGCATTCCCTGTGGATATCATATATCCAACCTCAAACAGGTTCATAAGATATACAGAGGTGTTTCTTGTGCAACTCATCAGCCTTTATTATAGAGTAATCCATTAGTCCTTTGAGAGGAGTTTCCTTGGTTAACATCTTGGTCTCCCTGCAGTTGCCTCTTGATAAGGATTTAACAAATTGAATCATGTTTAAACACACAATCAGATTCCATCCAATCAAAACTGTTTAACATATTTTCATTTACACGTGCAAAGATGTGTTGTCGCTTTTAATTGAACGGTATATATTAGGTCAGTTTTTAGTTTTTGTCTTGTCACTTGATAATGTCATGGCGACACTGACACATCGTGTTTAAAATGTTTTTGCTTATCTTTATTCTGAAGAATAAATCATGTTTTATTAGTTAATTTAACTGTGGTGTTGATTATTTGTTTGTTAAAGGATTCGATGTCATTTGGAGGAGTGTGACAACAATTCCACTTTGCCCAAGCATGAAGTCTATGATGAATATAAGTAAGTCATTAATTACCACAAATCCTCTATTAAGCCCCCTGGGGGGCTTATTTAAGTTGGAAAAGACAATCAGGGCTGTCATTAAGAGGTGGGGCTGGGGATTTCTCCTGGCTACTATGAACATACTCAGAAGAATACTCAGAGGTGGGGAAGGGGGCTTGTTTGATGGGGGGGTGCTTAATGGAGGATTTAGGGTAATATTGTTGTCAGAAAAATTAAATAATTGATTGGAAGATTATAAGTAAAAGTACCGTCAGTGGCAAGTAACTTTGGTCTTTAGAAGATATTGCATTTTTTTCAAACTGCCACTTGCAATCAGCTCCCCCTCCCCCTCTTGCAAGCCCCTAAACTATACCCCCCCCCCCTTGTAGGCCCATCTACCTGTAAACAAAAAATAAATAATATAAGCCCCTCTCTAATTCTGTACCAAGTATATATATTGAAATGAATTTGATCTGTTATGATGTTTTGAAGCTTAATTAAAAACAGTGAACGCAAACTGTAATTGGATCAGCACTATACTGCTATAGCTTGTTTGAAGCACTTTTCCTTTTCTAGTTTTAAGCCCCTCCCTTTACAAGCCCTCATAAAACCCCTTACGAAGATGTACAGCTGTATAAGCCCAGGGCTTTTTAGCAACAGTGTATAGTATATCAACCTCAACTCTGTCCAGGCAATTCCAATAATATCGTCCGGATTGTCCCACATCACATCAGAGGTGCTGTTCCCATCTGAAACACCTTATAATCAACTTAAAACATTTTGAGGAGACTAACACACTATGTTCACACTACACTGGATATGTTTTTGTGTCGGCATGAACACCCATCTGATATGTGGCTCTCAACTTTAGAGATCAGCATGGCACAGCTTTGCTTCATCACAGAATTTGCACAGAAATCACCGTTTTTATGTGTGAACAGATTTAGCCGTATCCGGTATAGCACAAAAGCTATCTGCTATAAAGTGAAGAAACCCTAACGCAAACGAGAGGATCCAGATGATTAGGGAAACCAGATTTAACTGTCCTGTGGACATTCATTTTGTTTCACTGTTTTTTGACTGATTGAGATGTTTAACAATCAATTTTTTCAAACAGAGCTCACTGTGAGAGCATGAATGCTGCGCGGACATTAAGTGCACCTGACTTTGGGAAGATTATCAAGTGTGTGTTTCCCAGAGTGAAAGCAAGACGACTAGGGACACGAGGGAATTCTAAATACTGTTATAGTGGAATCCAGAGAAAGAAGAACGTAAAACCACCTACCCTGCCATCTCTACAAGTGCCATCAGCAAGTGAAAAAGAAAAGGTGAGAAATAAATTTGTTTTTTGTTGTTGTTGTTTTTAATGTAGGATTTAGCTTTACATCCTTGAAACACAATGTTTAGTTATTGCAGGCGACCAGAGAAGCCCGCAATCCTTATCTGCAGGTTGACATGACACATGAGCAACACAGCATGTATGTAGCCAGCATTCATTTGGACTTCCACTAAGAATGAATGGAATGGCAAAAACTCAATCTCATCACGCACATTTGTCACTCATAATCTGATTTCCTCTGCATTTTGACGTCCTATCATGTGTAGCCTCGGACAAGGCTCCGCAGTGAGGGGAAAAGGCAAAAATGGGGTGAAACTTTTGCAGAGCATAGCATTAGAGCAAGAGTTGTTTGACCTTCGAACTATCTCACATGTACTCCCTAACCTTTGGTTATCCTAGTTATAATGTTTAAGGCCTTCCTAAGAGTTTTTATTTCATTGGTGTCGCCCAAGGATTTTGTCTGCAGAATCATTTCAGTTAAGTTTGCTAAGTTCCAATATTATACCTCTTATTTAAGATATCAAAATGTCCTTACGATTAATGAAACAATTCTGGTTTTAATTCAATGTTAATTCAAACAATTTTTTCACAATAATCCTCTTTAACCAGAATTTGAATCACCTTTCAGAGTTCAAGTAATTCAGCAAACAGTCCAAATGGAGGAGACAAAATAGAAGAAGACCAAACCCTCTCAGCAGCTTGTATGCTAGTGTGTGAGTGGGCCAATAAACTTCTTGGTAGGGTATTCAGCACGTTGATTGAACTGGCCAGGTTTCTTGTTGGCGGGAGTTACGTATCCAGCAAATCCATGGCAGCATTTGTGGTAATGTCCAGCAATGATCTAAGCACACCTCAGATAAGTCATTCGTTAGTGTCTCTATTGACACCCTTGAAGCAAAGTGATGATCCAATGTTACTGTCACAAAAACGGCGACAGTCACAGCAGATGCCTAAGAAGATGCCGCAAAGACAACAGCAGAAGCAAATTCAACAAATTCCTTCCAATTCCTTAATCCAGCAGGGAGCAGCTCTTTGTAACACAACACCACAGTTACTGGCTCACAAGGCTTTGGTGAGTAGAAATAAATACAGTTGAACTGCTAGTAGGTTGGCCACCCTCAGGCTACTGGCAAGTGGCAGCTTAATGGAGGTTGGCCACTCAATAGAGGTTTGTCATAAATAATGGTGCAACCCCGTTAATACGGTCACCAATGGGCCAAAAAAAGTTTGGCTGTATTAACAGGTGACCATATTAACAAGGGCTTATTACAAGAAAATGCATGGCCGTTTTGCCGGGAGGCAAAAAAACGGTGGCCGTAGGTGTAATAACAAGGTAGCTGTAAGGCCAGGTTTCACTGTAGCATAATCTTTAGCAGAAGTTTCACTTTATTTTGTTGAAACAAAAAAAAACACACACACACACACACGAGAAGCGGCATTACCGTGCCACAAGTTTGTTGTGACCTTCTATGTTATGCTGAATTTTCCTTAATTATTGTATTTATAAAATAAATCCAAGCACCTGATGGCTGCTTAACATTGTGACAACAATAAGAGAACTCTCATCGAGATGGCCAAAAGGTGGTCGCTGTCACTGGATAAAGGTGGCTACTTACACTCACTGTATTTCAACAACATAAATTACAAATTAGCACAAAGAACAGCGTTGAAAAGGGAAAGAACCTCAAAAAGCGCCACAGCACCATTCTAGGAGGGAATCCTAAACTACCTATAACTGGCTATGAGCCTAAGACATATACAAAAAAATCAAAATTATATACGGAAATTCAAAAGTGTATCAGCTAAAACTCTAGAAACCTTCGACTTAAAATCTGCCACAGTCTCTCCTCTCTCCTCTAATATCATGAGGCCGAGACGATGCCATTCCCAAATATTCTTTTCAAGAAACTATAATTATTTGAATAAGTTAGTCCTTGAATAACTTATTAAAGGTTTACAGTTTAATTTGTTGTTTGCATTTTTTAGGTAAGCGTCCCAACTCCACCGAAGACACCCCATAAACAGCCATTACATATCCAGCCAAAGCCAATACAATCATCTCTCCAGAGTCCCCCTTCTCAGATAGGACAGTTTTACCAACAACAGCAGCCACAGTCAGGCAACCCTACCACTACACCCAGTGGATTTCCTTCCAAAATAAGACCTGTTACTCCATCGATGATGTCGCCGACAACTCCTATACAGCAAGCAATGCCACAGACACCTTCACCATTCCAGTCATCACCAAAGTTCAACACTCCAGGGACACCACACAATCGTCCTGTTACTCCCAGTTCGGCTAATGCCACACCCAGACACACACCAAACTCAGCAGAGCCCACCCGGTTTTTGTTCACGCCAATCACTAGTGGATCACAAGAACAGAGGGTAAATAGAGGAGAGACAAGCCCTCCGACGTTGCGACCCACTGCAACCCATCCTAGCCAGCTTATTAATAGTGACTGGCCGCAGCAAGGAGCACCACAGATGGGAGTCAATGATATGCCCATGTCACCCAGTAAACAACCAAGATTGATTAACCAGAACCCTCCTTCTACACCAACGTCAAACCGCAGACCTGGCTCCTTTGCGTACCCTCTGCCTTCTCCCAGAACGCCACAGCGCATAGCTCCACAACAATACGTGACGTCGCCAACAATGGCTTCGCCTGGGGTGGGGAGACAGTTGAATCCTGTCTCGCCAAATGTTGTACAAAGGAGCCAGGAATTTATGCTCCCGACAGTGATTTCACATGTGGAGACTATGGCTTCCACTGGGTACTCTCAGGGGGTCAGTATGAGTAGCGTTGTCTCGTCTGGAAGTGATGTACATATGACTCAGCAGCAGCAACAGCAGTCTAAGCAAGGGTAAGTCATTTACAAAAGCGATAAAAGGTGTGGCATAGCCTCAGTAAACACCACACATTTCGCGACTCACCACTGGTTTCCCCGCGAAAAGACGTCTGAAAAACGAGCGCAAAACTCCATATTGATGACGTGTCACTGCCCAATTCTGGGGGTTGAAGCAAATTTCCCTCTCGGTATGACCAATCAGAGGTGCTGCCGCGATCCGGGTAGTAACACGTAATCGGTATAGATGTTTCATTCGAGCAATTGTCGTTACTCATTATCACCCCTGCGAGGAATGAATTCTAAAAGGAAAAAATAAGCTAGCACTTTATTTTTATTAGCGTTTAAGACGTTTCGAAAACCTTCCTGTCGCGAAAGATTTTTAAAATTTTGAACAATAGTTCCTATTTTTGTTTCATTGTATTCGGCTAGGAAGGAGCCGCTTAACTCTAATGGCGGCCTTTTTAGATTTGAGCTCCCGAAGCGGTACCAGTTCAAAGATTTAAAAAGGAAAAAAACACGACGAGCAAGCCGGTCATTTTTAAGTGCGCGTTTCCCCTCAGAGGGTTTATTAATTTTTCCATGGCGGAAACAAGTAGGGTATCAAGAATTTCTAGACCACGAGTGGTCGTCTTTCTTTCCTCAGAGCCAAGCACGGCGAGGAAAAAAGTAAAATAATGCAAATTTTTGGAGAGATCGGGGGTTCAACCCTCGTTCCTCGCGAGTTTGCCGCTTGCCCCTTACGCGCGTTCTCAATCTAGTATAATTCGAAAGGGAATAAGAGAATGCTCCCAGTCTTAATAATTTCTGATTTCACATAATATCCAAGCTGAGGCATTTGTAATATTAATTTGCATTTTTTGGTATGATTTTTAGGGCACCTGCTCTGTTGCCTAAATCGTGTAGATTCAGCAGTGGTTCAGATAATGGACAAGTGCCGCAAGCGTCTATGATTCAACATCAAACAATGGATTATTCACCAGAATTGGAGTCGATCTGTAACCAGGCCATAAGTTCTACAGGTCAAATGCCTCCGCCATCGTACCAGCGAAGTCAGTCTGTTCCTCCATTGACACAGCATGCGCTGGCCGAACAGCGGTTTCATCCATTGACACCACAGACTACCACCCGTCCCCAGCACTTGACACCATCGCCCATGGACTCGTCAAATCAACACTTGAATGGTTTAAAGGAACTACGCAACAGAGTTCTCCATGGTGACGTTAATAATAATGGCTCAAGACCGCCGCCTGATAGCGCTTTCTCCGCGCGGAGAAACTTAACACCCATGCTCAACGCGGAACACTCAAACATGAACGCTGCCCCGCCAAACTGGGCGGTGTCACAGGTCCGAACAAACCACCCGAACAGGGCTGGCGAGGATCATGAAATGACCATTCTGGAAAATAACTTGACTTTTGCGGATCTAAGCAATGAAAATGATGAAACATTATCTGATCTAAATACGCTGGATGAGGCTACTACGGAAGCAGTACTGAGAAATATTTGTAATAACACCTCTGGTGTTTGGCCCACTAATGACGTTCATACATGGCCAAACTCACAACCGCTGCAAATTATGGATTAAGCCTTGCCTCCTGTAAACACACCCCACGCCAGAACAGAAAAAAATGTGTTCTTAAGGGAGGTTGGTTAAGAATACAGTGTTTGTATGAGGTTTTTATTATGACTAGGTTTCTGCTTACACAAAGTGTCCTTTAGCGGATTTGTTTGAATGTCGTCTATATTAAAGCTCGGTTCTACAATTTCTTCCCTCAAAAATACAGGTTTTTAATCGGTGTGATGGTTATGTCAATTAACATTGACAAATATTGTAGAACGTTTTGCTGTGTGGATTGTGGCCAGGCAACCAAATTTTAACTTAACTATTTGTTTCAAAGTGTGCAGGTGTTGAGGTGCGGGTATTGTGGAGTGTAATTTATTTTCCATGTCAATCTCTTTTTCAATATAAAGTATTGATATAATTATGTATTAAAGGAGGATTTTCCTTTTATGATTTTGACTCATTTCTGTCGCTTTATTTTCTCATTACAGTCGAGCCTCCCGTAAGCGACCACCCAAAATGCAGGACTGAGTGGTCGCCTACGGGAGGTGGTCGTTTACAAGAATCAAACCACAAAGGGGCCTCTTCCGAGAAGAGGTCCAGTCACATCTACTTTATGGAAGATATTTATTGCATGCAATTCTCTAAGTTAAGCCATGCGTAGTTCTATGTTGTCACCAAAGTTCTTCGTATATTCTTAGTAGCACAATGCACACAGCGAACATAGGGATCATAGAGTGCGTCAAGTGGTCGCTTACAAGAGGTTAAAATCAATGGGATATCATTAACCGTCAAGCCCAAAAAGCGGTCGCGGTCTCTTACAGCAGGTGGTGTTTTACTAGAGGTTCCAACTTTTAGGCTGTGATTGGGAAAATTTTGGTGTTTTGGATAGGCGGTCGTTTGTGGGAGGTGGTCGCACATGGAGGTTCGACTGTATACATAAATCAAAACTTTAATGAAACTGCACACTGCGCCAATGGTTCGTTGATAAGGATCTTGTACATTAGAGTCTTGTATTTGTAAAAGTTTAAGGTCCAAAAAGTTGGACGTAAAGTGTATTTTTGTCTGTGATCGAGACGTAATATAAGGGTGCTTTACAAAGTCACTGAGTTCGTACCGGCGGCTGACCGAACCATTGCCGGACCAGTCATTTTGAAAATGAAAGAGGCTTTTTCCAAGAGTTTTTGCTTAAAAACCATCTTTGTGCATACTGTTTAGGATTTGACTGATCTGGCTGAATAGTTTTGATTAAAAGTGAAGTTTTGATTACGAGGGAATGGTTCGGCCGGTCAGTTTTGAGAAATGGAAACTTGGCGACGCCCGGCTGAAAGGCACACATTAATTGGACGCGCTGAAGACCCACGAAATGTTTAAGAACTTCTGTTTTACAACTAAATACCAATGTTTTAGACAAGGAAATAACTATAGAGATGGTACAGGAGCTGCATGCCTTGGAGATAGCGTTTACTAAAATCGATTTTTTCATGGCTGTCGCTAAACGTTGCGGGTGACTTGGTTGTATAAGAAAAGAACCTGAACGACCGTGAAAACCACTAGTGTCCTCCATGAAAAGGACGTTTTCCATCAAAACGATCTAGAATCACGTTTACGGAAAACGGCAAGCTTCAGATTCTGGCAACAATTGCTCAAAATGAAAAAAGAAACAGACAAAAACGCGAAAAATAGTACTTATGGATGAGAATGACATGAAATAACTGTTTTTGTGGGCAGTAGATATAAAGAACTTTAAACGACATGTAAGCGGAAAACGTGGTCTTGTGGTGCTAAATGACGTCAGTTTGTTGTTTCCTGTAGTATCCCAACCCCTATGTAACCCCAAACAACAAATCCATAAAAACCTACACTAACCTAAACGCAGCTTACAAGTTTTCCCTACATTTACGCTGTAACTTCCCTGGTAGCAGTAAAAGAAAGCCGATTTTGAGGGCCGCGGGGCATAGAAATTGTGTTATATTTAGTTCTGTTTTTAAAAAAAGGACTTTGTCTGTTTCTTTTTCCATTTTGAGCAATTGTTTCCAGAATCTGAAGCTTGCCGTTTTCCGTTCTGCCAAAGAACTGGCAGTTGAGAATGAGAAATAAATAAAGACACCGGAGTCCGAATGAGACTGGCCATCTGATGAAACTATAAAAATGGTTGTTTCTACCGTCAAACCTGAATTGAGCGGTCATCGTTAGGGAATGGTCAACTGACCGCTTGATACAGGTCAGACCATTTTGACAAACCCAAGAGTTTACTGGCCAGAACTTGTACAAAGACGGTGACAAAGCGAGATATCCATAACTCGACAAGTTGATCTTTTAAAGTGTTTTATCTCTTCTTGTGCATGCCAAGAGAGTGAGAGACCACTGACTGTGATGCACAGTAGGGCCATTGATACGAGAAAAAATAAGACGCGTCTTACATACGACGCAAACTGGACCACTTATACGAGCATGTCTTATCTAAGACGAAAACAGCTCGTATAAATGGTTCGCGTCTTATTTTTAATTTCTGTTCTTGACTCGTTTTAATATGAATGAACTGAACTTACTTTTTGAGTGTAAGTTTATATTACGAAGATAGCAATTTGATTAGTAAATATAAATTGTTAGTTTATTAATATTAATTTATTGATAGTTTATTAGAAGTTAAAAGGGTCTACTTACACCAGCAGACGTCACGCATTTGTCCAGGAGGTCTGCTATCGCCTTCTCCTTACATAATAACAAGAAATCCTTTTTCTCCGCGATGGACCAAGTGTTTCTTGTTGCATTTAACGGCGAGCTCATTGTAACTGAGCGAAGAAAAAAACGCGTTGTATTTGTAAACAACTTTTCCCCGCCAGTAGCCTTCCAGTCCGCCGCGGGGCAAGCGATAATTTTCCCGCCAAAAATTAAAGCATGCGTACTATGCGAAGTTTTTCTCGTCTTAGCTAAGACGCGTCTTATCTAAGAACAGGTGTTAAGGGCTGTTCTAAAATAAGACGCGTCTTAGCTAAGTCGCGTCTTATTTTAGACGAAATGTGCCGTTTATACGGAAAGTTCGCGTGTTACTGTTAAGACGCGTCTTATATTTCCTCGCATAAATGGCCCTAGTGTCTCTATTGCACTTGTGTGGTATATCTTGACAAGGTGACTGACCGTTTAACAAATTTGAAGACAACAAAAAATTGGGGAGCTTAAGTAACGACGACGGCGAATTGGCAAAACAACGACTCTGCACGTGTATCACACTTTTTTGTACATTTCTTTGCCGTCACTACACGACTACAACGTGAAAATGCCTAATTTCATGTTTTGCAGACTACGAGTAGTCTCCCATTTTTCCTCAGGGAAAGTAGAGGGAGCGAAACGCGAGCGCTCGTGATATTAAATCACCCCACGCGTGTCGCTTTTTCTCGCGTGGGATAATTTTCATGCGCGCTCGCGTTTCGCTTACTATCCCTGAGGAAAAATGGGGGACTACTCGTAGTCTACACGTTTTGTGGAGGACGTGTACACAAAACAACGACTTCCTTTTTCTTTCCCTAAACTTTGACGATACAGTCCTCTGGAATTTAACTCCAGTAAAATTGCCAACATTTGATGAATCGAACGAGGTGGAATAAGCGCGATAAAGTTTGAAGCAGCGCGACTTCACTTTTTGAGTGACGTTTTCGTAGCCGTCGCCAGCCTTGTTGCTTAAAGGGCATGTAAACCCAAAAATACAAGTTTATCCCCTTATATGTAAAAAAGTATTCTAAAAACGATTTCGCTATTAGTTTTTGCCAATTCGATGCTCCTAAGGCGAAAACACGGCTTTTTCTACAGCAGATTAACTTCCGGTTAACAATATGAATTACCAGTGACGTAACGAGTGGAACCAGTCTATTACGCAACTTGATTATCACTATGGCGGCTCGAGCGATAAGTGAGAGTTCGGATAGTTCAGAGCAGAATTCATCCGACGAAAGTGATTTTTACGACGTAAATTTATATGACAGCGATGTAGCTGAAACTTCAGAGCCTCCTGAAGACACAGGTCCGCGTCCCTGTTGTTACGAGCCTCGCAGAGTTCAACGAGATTATGGACAACGAAGCCGTATCATAAGGACGAAACCGAAAGTGAGACGGATCGTCTTGTCACTTAAATTGTATTGCTTATACCTAATTTGCCTTTATTTTGGAGTAATTTTATCATGAGACTAGGATGAACTCAAGCCATTATGAAAGGGGTCCTTACTTTTTGTTATTGTAATTTAGGTGTTAGTGTGAAATGTGTCAGCCGATGCCTTCGGTACCCGAAAGCGTATGTTGTCATGAAAATAGGGCAAATATGGCAAAAAATTGAAGAGCAAACTGAGGTCCAAATGTCCTGTATAACAGAACATCCAGGATTTCAGTCTACTTGCTTGGATGTGTGGGTCCTTGAAACGGCGTATTATGCATATAGGCAACAACATGGCACAGACAGTCAGAGAGGGCACGAGTATGTTTTCTAGTTCTGAAATTTTCACTATGTACATAAAAAAAAATATGAACAGTTTATATATGACTGCATGTTCGAAGTTATGTATTTATTCCAACATTTTTCCACTCGTTCGTGTCTAGAAAATTTCGCTACATCGCTTATCGCCAACTTGTGCGATGTTGTTGGGGTTATCTTTGCAGAAAAGTAAGAGTGGCGCTCCCTTCCTGCACAGTAAACAAAATACGCCAAAGATTTCCTGCGGATATTGGCACCTCCTACACTGGTTTAAAGCCACCAAACCTGCAATAATAAACCTATATTTTAACAAATAAAAAGTGAAAACCATCAGCGAAAAATAAGAAAAAAAAGCAAACAAACAAAGTGCGATATCTCTTCAAAAATACCGGGCAAAAATATAACCAGTGTGTAGTACGTTACTTTGACGGACTCCCCTCATATTCTTCAATGTCGTCCTCGGCTTCCTCAAGAGACAAATCAGTCGGTGGAACATAATCGAAATCTTTGTCATTGTCCACGCTGCGTCCTCCTAGACTTTTAACAGAACTGCATTCTGGTGTACTAGTGCTTAAAGGAGCTGTAATAACGTCGCACCGCACTTGAAAATCTTCTCTGAAGGGTTCTAATTGTGTGCCTGCTGGATAGAGATTCTACATTAGATAATCGGTTAGGGGAAAAGAAAAAAGCGAGGTAAGATTATGTCTAAGCGTAACCTACCTTCGTCGTTTCGTGCAGAATATCACACTGAACTTCAGAGCAACTACAGCACTTGTTTCAGTGTCGACGGGCATAGACTCAGAAGCTGACGTGACGGCTTTCGCAGCGTCAGAGGCACGTTTATTATCGGCCAATAACTGTGAAAAAAAGTTGAATATACTTGAGGAAGGGGAACGGTTAATACTGACCTAATGAAAAAAATCCTTCTTAATTATTACATTGGCTTATTACTTACCCTAGAAACTGATAACTTGTGCACAGCTCGACTTGTTCGTGACCTTTTGCCAGGAGTCTGACTCGCAGTCGCCGGTATTTCTTTTCTTCGCTCTCCATAGTCCGCTAATTTGCACGCTTCGGATAATGCTTCGGGTCGCTGGGGCTGAAATGTGGGGACGGAATCACTTTCCAAATTGACTTTTTATATTTGAGTCCCATTTTTACCATCGCATCATCCTCAAAACATTCGTGTGCAAAATGAGCGCCACAGATTATAGAGTGTTCTGTAGGCTGTAAGAAGTCTGCACGTTTAACTTGGATCCACTGGCGCCGAATTCTTTCTGTTTTTGGAAAAAAAAATGAGTAGAATGCCCTGTTTTGTTCGAGTTATTACAAGATCCAACGACACACCGCTTTACCAATGTCAAAACTAAAAAAATATTCTTGTAGGAAACTAGACAACACACGTGCTTGTAAAGGTCAAAAAGATGTTTTTGACTTCCGGTGGGTAGAGATTCCACTCGTGACGTCACAACAAAGATGGCGGAATCAAAATGGCGGGCGAAGTGAACTTTCAGAGCTGATTTCTCGGGTCAAAATGCGCTTGTATCGAAAAAAAGAAAAAAGATTTATGAAGTACTTTCGGTATACATTCTATTCATATCAAACAAAATTGTAGCATTTCTGGGTTTACATGCCCTTTAAGCTCCCTAATAACTCGTTAGAACCACGGAAACGGTGAATAGAGGGTGACCGCTTAATGCAGGTCCTCTTGATACGGGTTAAACCTTATTCTGCCTTGCGGGACAAAAAGGTACACTCGGTAGCAGTGAAATGCAAAACAAAAACCCGATCACACAAGTTGATCTCACCCTAAGCAAATCGGGGAGATATAAAAGATCAAACCGTTCCATATATGCGACTGATGTCCCAAGCACGTGTCTGTCAGTAAAACGCGGGTTCGGGGTGGGGGCTGGGATCTATTTTTTTTTTATTACAGAATGCTGTTTTAGGGTTAGGGTTAATGTCAACCCTATTAAACTCTAAAACAGCATTCTTCAGTAAAAAAAAAGATATACCCCGACACCGGCCACGCGTTTTACTGATACCATGTGAACTGCCCTCGGTTAGAAGATCCTGCTAGGAACCTAACATATAGCGTTAGGATGATCCGCCCTCTATAGGATCTCCCTCCCTTCCATGTAAACAGCTCCTTGGTCAGGAACCCAGGGGAAGGGAAGCGACGGGTTTGCGGTTTCCCTGTCTCCTTTTTGACCCTCAGGCGTCCCAGAAAACATCTGACGGTTATTTGAGGGCGGGGGGTAGTACTAAGAACAAACCAGACAAAAATGGCCGCGGTTCGTTCAGAGGATAATCACGGCAATAAAGGCCGAACAAATCGTTTGGCGTTACCACAAGCTGATAATCGTGACAATTCTGCTGAAAGGTAGTTACTAACGTCGGTAAAGAGAATAGAGGGGCCCAAATTGCCGCCATCTTTAATTCCTTCTCTCCTTGGGTACCACACGGACCGGAATTTCTGCGCGTATACCAAAACCCGGAGAAAAACCTCTCGGAGCAAGGGGGAAAACCAACAACATACTCAACCCACATATAACGTCGACGCAGGGATTTGAACCCAGGCCACATTAGTGGGAGTCAAGTGCTTTCAGCACTCAGCGTCACACTTGCTCCGCAGTTCGTACCCGTCAGCCGGTCAGTGTTATATATTTTCAAAGCGATAAAGTGTACTACAGGAAAGGAATTAAGGAATTATGGTTTCGCCGCGCGAGACTGAAGGAGACCTAGGGCATAACAGATCCACTACAAACCTCTCGTTACTGACGACTTCAAAACAGATGTTCCAAAAACATCGGGGACAGGAAAAACAGCAATATTTTTTGGCCCTTGCCCCAACATGCGTTTTGTTTACAGAGTGTGGAGACAAACTAATGTCCAGGTCTAATATGACCACGGTGTACGTTGATGCGTTACGTGGTACAACATCTGATAGAAAACGGTATGGCTTTTGCTATGGACGCAAGCACAAGCTAAGAATACTTAGTGCACAATAATAAGCACAATGATAAAATAGTCTTAAAATACGCCATGTTATGCCTGGGACACTGGTGAAAACCAAATTGTAAATTGTAATTTGTTTACCCACGGAGCACTAAGGAGTTCATAAGAACGCGTTGAAATGTGTCCGTGCGTTCAAGCAAAATAGGTAGAAGCCAGTCAGCCAAAACCCTTCAGAAACAAGAAATCTGCTGTATCTACGAGCTGCAAGAAAAACACAAGTTTACGTTTGTTTGGAATTTTAATGTTACACGCAACATTTAGGATATGACCTTCTTATCTTGCCTCCTTAGTATTCCACCCTTTGCGCAAACTTTTATATCTTGCCCTGCCAGGTATATGTTGAATTTGCATTTTCTGAGCTTTTATATTAAAACTGTCATATAAAAAAGTAACACCAACAAAAATATTAATCATTTGATTGAAAAGAAAATTTGATTTTACGAATTCTTTCACGAAGGACGTGATTATACTGATGGTCCAGAGGCGGACCTGGTACTTCGATTTCTTTTGAGACGGGTGGAGGGGTGCCCACCCCCTCCCCCACGTTTTTTCTCCGTCACGGGGGAGGGCAAGGCTACACTTAAGTACTTACTGAAATTGCTTGTTTTCAAGTTGGAGGGGGGCAATTGCAATCATTATTTCTTACGGGTAATGCTGGAGAAAAAACTTAACGCTGCTGATTTACTACTCACTATATGCATACTAACCTTAACTGTTGCTCATAGCATCTTTCAATTTTCACCCTGACATAAATAAATATTCCTTTTACATGCGCTTAAGTGCTGAGATTTCTTTTCTATGTACAAAAGTGTTCTTCTTAAAGCCTTTTCAGACTAGCCTGCGTCGCAGACACTCTAAAACTAAACCTTCTGTATAGAGCGGACTCCCGGGGGGGAGGGGTACTTTAGGAATTTCTGGGTGGGGATGTGCCGCTGGGACCCTGGAACCCTTAACCTATACCAGAGCTAGTTCAGCTGAATTTTGCTACCCTATACTAGAGTAAACTCCCCAAATCCCCCTATCCTAGAGTAGCTGTTTCCCTTGTCTAGATAAAATCTTCAACCAACTGATCAGTTTCCTGAAAAATGATACCCTATTCTAGACCCAAACGCTCTGATTTATATACCCTATCCTAGAGTAAACTGCCTGAAAACCATACCCTTTACAGCGGCACATATCTATTTAGCCCATATATGGCAGAACCCTCCTCCCCCCCCCGGGAGCGGACTATACAAATGGTTTAGACGAGTGCGTGGGCCAGCTGCAACGCAGGCTATCTAATTCTCGCGAGGTTTAAATTGGGAAGCTAAAATTTTCATCAGATTTCGTTTGTGAAGTAAGGAATTCCTTGGAGTTGGGATCGCAAATTCCAGAAATAACATTACCATAAATAAATATTATCAATTTGTGAAGTAAAAAAGGAGGCAACAAATGTTCTTGGCTATCTTAATACAGTGGTCGTCAACTTATGAACTTTCACTGTTTACCAAAACTTGTCCGCACCTTATCAAAAAATCAATACGGTCAAAGAAATTTCAATTATAGGTCTTTTTTTTTTTAACAAAAAACATAAATAAATTTTAAAAAACCCTAGCTATATAAGCATTAGATTTAAATAAATAATATTTTGGTGAAGATTGCAGCGTCATATCATTAATTGCTGTATTATTGTCAAGGCCATATACTGATTCAATTGTCAAAATTTTGATAAATTATCATAAATTTAATTAACTGTCCTACTAATTTGGTTTGTCAAAGTGTATATCGCGGTTCTGTAGGACCGTCAGTGACAGTGCAAAATGTAACTCCACTAGGGAGATCTGGGGGCTGGCGTGCAAATATCACTTTGATATCTGTGTGGAGATAGAGTCTGCCAGATTTGGAAGTAACAAATCTGAAATATAATTCAAAACGCACAATTAATGAGTTGCAGGGTCTGTTTTATAAGTTCATTACGTACTTGAACGTATAAGTTAATTCTGTTTATTGTTCATTCAAAATATTTTGTAGCCTCCCCGCAGACGTCCTTTGGGGTTCGTTTGTCACGCATTCATTTCTCCCCCACGGACGACGTCCGTGGGGGAGAAATGAATGTGTGACAAACGAACCCCAAAGGACGTCTGCGGGGAGGCTAAATATTTTGCCGTTTCTGATTGCCTCCAATCCCCCTGGCTAATTCTTCGTAACCAACAGGGGCTGACCATATTTGGAATACAGCTATTTTGAGAAAGGTTGTCAGAAAAAAATTCGCCACAACAACCCCGAAAGGTAATATGGGATATGATCAATACACTGTTCCTGACACTGTAGCTGTCAAAACTTCTTTTGTTGCTTTCCTTTAGCACTCACAAACACATGTCCATGGCCTCTCGTGCCATTCTTTCAAATTTCTTTGAAGAACAATGAACTCAACGCTCGCAAACATATCTCCATGGCCTCTCGTACCATTCTTTCAAATTTCTTTCAAGAACAATAAAATCAAAACCACCCACAATACCTATCGGGATTACCGCATGCAATTTTTCCAACAACCTTTCTCGAAATAGCTGTATGCGAGCAATATACCATCGATTTGATGGTATATTTGATTTTATTAAAATAACTAAGATAGAACGCGCGTTCTGATTGGTTAAAAACCAATGGTTTATTGTGCCGGTAAACTTATAGAAAACTGAAACATTTTCCGTTTTACTTAAAGATATTTTATAAAAGCAATAGACCACACTTTCTATGGGTTTACCAGCGTGATAACCCATTTGGGATGTTGGGAGAACACTCGAAAAGCTCGAGGTCTCCCAACATACCGCGTTGGTTATCACGCCGGTAAACCCATAGAAAGTGTGGTCTATTGCTTAAGGAAACAAGGCTGCATAGCAATAGACCATCAATCAACTTCGTTTCCAGGAGCAGCCATCTAGCTGCTTGGGGGCTAATAAAATCCTATTGTTACTTTGTACCAAGCTAAATCTGTAAACAAACAAATAAATCCACTATTTATAAGTATACTTAAGCTCACCTCAAATGAATCAAATAATGAAGAGACATTTGACCCTAAAAAATGTACAGTAATGTGTTATCATCAAAAATTATTTTACAAAGAATGTATATTAACTTCTTTGCCACCAAGAAAGTTCGCAATTTTGATTGCCCATATTGCTCAAAGAGAGCTGAAAATTGCACAGATTGCTCAAGTTAACCAGCCCTTACAACTTTTGAGTTCAAATTGTATATACGGCCACGGCGATGGGTTAAGTAATACCGTAAATAGAAAAAAATGTAACTGAGGGCATCAGCAAATATTTGCTCAAAGAGAAGAGCTAAAACGAGAAATTCAATATTCACGAGTTCAAGAGATAATAAAATTTTTTCAACAATTATAAAAGCTATAACACAAGTTTTATAGATTTGATTCACGCCTACTACAAAGACAATGAATTTAGCTGACGTTGCTCTTTTCACTTGAAAGCATGTCTTCTAATGTAGTCATATTTTTTCTTCTAGAAATTGCTGTGTCAGTTAACTTACAGAACAAGGGGTTTATCCTTGATAAAATAGTATCAAAAATTCTTAAGAAGTACAATGCCTACCTCATCTGAGTGACAAGCTCGTTTCCAAACTGAAAACGTTTTCTGACGTAAAAAAGTCTGTGCCCTTGGAGGCATATCACTAAAGTCATAGAGTACAACAAACATCTTGACCACAGTTTTGTTGGGATTAAACAAAGTCTGCAAATGCAACAGAATAAGCTTAAGTTTACAAATTAAAATCACATACAACTGCTTATGACAGGATATGAGAGTGCAGCTAACCCTCTAAGGAAAGGGACAGAGAAGGGGAACACCGAGTGTGTTGTGTCCTTATTGCGTATGAAGCTTGGTATCTTTAAGACAAGGATAAGTTTCTGTAATTATTAGCTGACTGTGTTATCAAATGCATCCATAAGGAGAAGTTCTAGAGGCTTCAGGTGGCTCGATGCAATAATTTTGTATTGACACCTTCCATCTTTGTATCTCTTACAAATTGATCTTAAAGGTAAAACCATTATTACACATGTATTACACATCGACTAAACTTTATTATGATATTTATTGTTGGGCGATCGGAATAAATATCATGGGGCAATGACGTCACAATAGTTTAAGCTTTAAAATTGAATTTCAGCCCTTATTGACCTGAACTTTGGAAATGCTTTACGCTGCGCATACTTTAGGTGCTTGTCGTCTGTTATGCAAAGTTTCACAGAAATCTAAAAAATGGTTATAAATTATTAAGAGGATTAAAAACCCCAACTGGAAGGAGGCATGTCAGCCAGTTGGGTATTTATGAGCATTGTTGAGAAGCTGGACTGTGACGGGTACTGGGAAACAAACCCAACTTGTTGTCACTGAGAATTGTACTCAAGTTGTCTGGACAGTGAGTCTGAAGCACAGACAACTCTGCTATGCTGCCTCCTTAAATTTCAGCTTTCGTTGCTATAACTGCTGCAAATTTTACATTTTTACATTCCTGTTGGCAGTCTTACCAGTTGCACGGTTCCTTTGGTAGGCACATGATAGCCTTTTCTACTTATAGAGAGATCATCTAAACTAATGTAGCCCTGCAGAATACAGTAAAACCCAGATTAATAGAGGTTTCAAAAATCAAATGTTAATTGTTGTGACGAGATAAGATGGACAATGTTTTGCTCAAACATGAAAAAAAATCTCACCAAGTAAGGAGATGGGGCATCATCTTCAGAGAGGCTGAAAAAATATGCTTTGACAGGAAGAGTAACATGAGAAGGGCAGAAAGATCCACTGGCTCCTAACTCAGCTGTGAAACCCTACAACAGAAGTGGCATGTATGAGGTTATCACAGTGAGAACTCTTACATATGGTAAAATCAACAAAAATAATTTATCTTGCCAGCAAGGACAAATAATTTGTCCTTGCTGGCAAGATAATACAATTATTGTATAGAACTGTAGAAGAAGAATTTTTCGGTATTCTGTTATATCATCTTATCTCAGTTCATGTACAAACCACCATTAGAAAGAAAACATACAAATAACAGAAACATTTTTCAAAATTTTAATAAATTAATCACCTCAACAGTCCCTACTGCTTCCATCCTGCCATTTAACACAGACTCCTAGAAAAAAATTGCAAGCATTTGTTGAACAATAAACATGTTATAGATAGTTGCACTTTTGTTCATGTAAGGAATTAGTTGAACACAACAACAACACATGGTTTTAGAGAAAAGGTGAGTAAGTCAGGGCATTTGGAAAGTGGTGGCCAAAAAGGTGTGGCATAATCTCATTCTGACATAAATGAGATTAATATCACTCTCATATTAATAAACTCATGATCAGACCGTAATTTAATCAAACTGAAATACCCACTATGAAACTTTCAATTTAAAGTATATAAGTGAATTTTTGAAATAAATCACTATGATATAGCCATGAGATTTCTTGAGATTTAATTATTTTAATATTAAACTAGTAATTTACCTCAAAGTTTCCTAAGAGACGTTGTGTTGTAGAGGCTGGAGCACTTTGACTCAGTTTTGCTGTGAAGTCTACGTTATTTGACTTTTCTTGAATGCCACTTAATTAACAGGTAAATAAAAACCAGAATGATTATAAGTAAAACTAACCACTTTTATATTTTTTTATATTATACATTATTAGATGTCAACAAGCTTGTTATTAACACTTTAAGTACATCTGTTGTACTAAAGCTTTGAGACCAGTGCTACTACAGCCACTTCACCTAAACTCCAAAGCATCACAAGCCAAAAAAACAGCAACAAACCCTTTTTCATTTTAACAATTGATACAGATTTTCCCATAAAATTTCATCACACCAATGACACTGGCCAGTAATACAATTCTCCAGCTGTTGAAAAGATGGATAGCGCTATCCACTGAAAAAAGTTTTTATCTTTGGAATTTGCCAATAGATACTGCTAATTATCAAGATGGTTTCCCTGCCACTTATCTGCATCATAGTGATTTATGACTGGTGGACATCGAGCTATCCAGTGTGTGAACAACCAGGCCTGATCAATATTATCCAGCAAGGTATAAGGTTTAACAGATAACAATATTATAGTTTTGAGCTTACTTTGTTGTTTCCCTGCAGTCATCTCCAAAGTTCAAATCAGTGGCAGAGCGACGGAGGGGAGCCTACAAACATGGAAAGCAAATTAGCATTTATTACAGCTACAGAAAAAAAAATAAAGAAAAAATACAAAAATCTTCAAACATGAACATTTTAATTTGCAAACTTTCACTATAAGAGGTAATAAATAAATTACTACCAAAAGACACTTGTGGGGCTTGACAGGGTTAAGAAACTATTACTATAGCATACTGACCGGGCTTGAAGAGACAGGTAATCCTGTTTTTGAATTGAAGATAGGAATAGTACCAGGTCCCACACGTTGGCTTCGAAGAGCTTGTCTGTATCCACCAGGGTTTGAGATCTTTGGAGATGAGTGACTCCGATTTACTTGTACATCAATTTTCTCACATTCAAAACTGGATTTCTGTTAGAAAGCAATAGTTTTGATCATATTTTGATATCATTTAGATAAAGGCCAAACTCTAATTTAGATTCCTTGGTCAAATAAGGCAAATGATATGATATCAAAGAAAACGATCCTTGTGTAAATACAAGTATATTAAATAAGTTGGTGACTCAAAGTAAGTTTAAAATCACTTTTATTGATAAAGAGAACATCCGTTTTTCATTCTCAGCTTTTCATTCACACATGAAATCATACACTATAAAACAAGAGGAAGATGTCCAGTTGGGACCAACTTGCACGGAGTGTAGACTCAATTTCCACTTGATCCACTCCCAAGAAAGGTCTCTGAAAGTTTTCAAAGATTGGGGGAATGAGTGCAGGCTCATTTTCCCAAACAGTCGCTGGTAATGGAGCCTACACCGATGAGTCCACCTTAAAGTAATTCAAATAACATTACTGAAGAAAGTTAGTACCAACTTTCCCATGATGGTCTCAGAGAAAAAGTAAAGAACACTAACCCCCCCCAAAAAAAAGAAAAATACTTGTTGATTGACAGTCAGCTATTTGTTGCTTTGCTGCTTTGTTTTGATAGCCTATCAACAGACTGCCAGCTGACACTTCACCAACAATACGCTAATTAACAAACTTTTAGGGGAGCTAAAATCCTTCTTTGTTAATAGAGTTTATGATATTTGTCCTTACCTGTTTATTACAGCCTATACTGCCTGTTGAACTTGGGTTTTCTTTCTCATACTGTTGAGTTTTCATCTGTTCATGTAATGGACTAATAGATGGTCCATCACTAAGACTACGAATTTTAAAATACCCACTTCTAAGAGAATCCTTGGAGGTCTGAGAGGTGTTTAAGCAATTCTCATCATCACATTTCGTTGCTACTACTTGGTCAACCAAACTCTTGCTTGTTGAAGGTTTTGAAAAGTCCAGAATACTTTGCTTGTTTAACATAGAATTGTTGCCATTCAAAATCTTAACGTCATGATAAGGATCTCGATGCTTCCTGCATGATTTCTTTTTTAAGGGAGACCTCACTGGGTCATCAATGAATTCTAAGGAGTCTTCATTCTCATTACATTTGGAGTTCTGCCCAGCATTGAGTTGATTTATTTTAGAAGCCAGGATTTCGTCTGCAAAGTTAATTATGTCACATCTCGGTAGTGAATGGACACTAACACGAAGCGCTCTGTTACTATGGAGATTTGCCAGGGGAAATGTGTGAAAATCAGGTTCTTTAAGAAACTCGCCAGATGCCACCTCATCTCCCATGTCTGATATTCTGAAGACAGATGATAAAACAAAGATAAATTTACATTATTTGTGAGGGTGGTTTGAGTGAGGGAAAGATCGGTGACAAGAAACAGGAAACCCAGGCACATATAATGCACAGCCCTAGACCAAAAAAAAAGTACAGCTCAGAGACAAGCATCCACGTTCAATATTTTTGTGTTGGGATTTATATAGTGATTGTTTACCTTTCAGAGGTTAGGTCTGAAAAGCAGTCTTGATGATTGCTTGTGTAAGAACATAAATTGTTGTCTTTTAACTCCCTAACTTAATGTTAATTAATCCTAATTAGCACCTAAACCATTAACCAAATTATCAAAGATGATGAATAATTTTGGCTAGGCAGCAAAGGAAATAATATACATGTAGGTTGAAACCATTCTAGCCTACAACATTATACACAAACCATGGGAAGCAAAAATATTGAAACATTATTAAGGGGGTCCATATGTGGAGCAGGGAGCACTCCCTTATTTGGCCAAAGTGGGTATGTGGTGCTGAACAGGGTATGATTTTCAGGATCCTGATTAGTCTTAAACAGGGTAAATAATTTCACTATTTTTCATCTGAGAGTCTTTTTGGGCCGGAAGCCTTAAAAAGAATGTGAAAGTCAGTAATGTGCAGTCTACATGAGTGGTACCAAAAATATATTTTCAAAAAAAATCTACTGGTAACTCCATGGAGTAAGATTAAAAACACTTAATAATTTCTTGTGCGAAACAGAACCATAGGTGTGAGAGTAGGTCTCTTGTCTTAAATAGGGAAGCAAAATGAACAATAATGATTATTCTTGTCTTAAACAGGGTCAGGATTTGAAGGGTTTGCCAGCACACCTCTACCCCTCTCAACCACCCCCCTCCCCCCCAAGAGGGGTCCATCTTGGTATACGGTCATCCTAGATGACCTGACGACCACTAATATGGATACCTGTCATTATCATTCGGTACTATACTCACCTATAGAGGACCTGTGAAGGAATAGAACCTTTACTTCTGCTCAGCCAGGCACTGAGCTGAGAAAAGTGAATGTGAGATCTGAGAGCTTGGATCAGCACGTTTCCACTGCAACTCTGCACATCACCTATCCTATAGATGGGAAGTAAATAATTTAACTATAATTGCGTCTGGTCAACTTTGATTACTGCAGACACCCTTGGGACTGTGAGTCTATCATCCTTGAGAGCGACAGGTATTAGCCTGTAATTGCAGGTCTGGAGTTTACTCAAGTCAAATATCTGTAAATTGTTGCAGGAATTTCACTGATGTCCGTTTTATTGGGGTGTGATTGACTACAAGCTTATTGTTTATTGAAAACACCATTAGCAACCAGCAGACAAGTATTCAAGACTGATAGTTCTCATGAATAAAGTTCCAAAATGATATCAACAAAATGGGTTCTCAAATCAAATCAAAAAACAAAAAAAAATCTGACAGCAAACAGTTAACCAACAGAATCACAGACTGTTACACATTAACAAAACTTTAATTCAAAGTTTGAAACCAAAAACCATTAGCAACTGTTGCGGGCCATATGGCCATTGTCTGCCAGCCATAAGTGTTTGCTGGCCAAAAGGTTTACAATAAAATTATAATGACCATCAGCAGTGAAAAGAGAAGTAGTGGTTGCTGATACTTAACAGTATAGTAGGACCCTGCTTTTTGACCACCCCGTTGTTACAACAACAATTTTTTGGCCCTAATTTAAAAACATTCAGTCATTTTCTGTTTTTTAAAACCAGATTTCCCTGGCCCATTGGTGTTCCTCTCAATGTGGTTGTACTGTAGTACTCATGTCACGTACCCATCAACAGCTTCAATTGTCCACTTCTCCAGCAAAATCCAATTGCTATCATCTGGACTCTGCATCAGGACTGTGATCACCATAGGAGAACTGTTCTCCCACAACACTGTCATCTTTTCTTTTCTTTCACATACTTTCTGACACTAAAAAATGGATTTATATTACTAGTGTTAGGGATATATGCTAGAAATTAGAACTCTATGCTGTACATTCATTGAAAATGTATTCGTTTGAATAAACAAAAAACCCATAGTGTATTTTAAATATTAGAAGGTCCTGAACTTACAAGGTAATTTACATGTGGGTTACAGACATGAGGAGCCACACTAATCAAGGACAGGCAGTGAGGTCCTTCAGCTCTTCCTTTTTCTGACTGCTGTGGTGTACGACCTTCCACTATCAGCATTCCAATGTGTATGAAGAAGTCTCTTGCCTGCATCTCACATTCCATCTCACCAGCAACATCACCTTCTGCCTCTGTTAACACTTTAAATCAAAACAGAAAAACAAATTTCAAGAAACAGTCAAACCTCTATGGATGTGACTGACTCAACAAAGTGACCACCTCCCATTAGCAACCACTTATCCAAAATGCCAATTTTTTTCCATTTATCCACTTTATAATTTACCTCTCATATTTATCTAAAGAACCAGCTCTTATCACTCTGTTGATTGATGGTTTGATAATTTTCCATTGTTTTTAACCTTTTGTAATAAAATATAAGAGACTACTTGACGCAAGTTCTTATTGACTGTATGTGTTGTGGTTCAATTTTATCCTTGGTTCAAATTTTATTTTCTTTTGTTTTGGGTATGGTAATGTATGATTAATTACATGATAATGAGTTTGTAACAAAAGAAAATAAAATTTGAACCAAGTATAAAAATTATTGAACCACAACATATGTACTACAGTTGTTAACCTCTTCACAAAGGCCACCTCAGGGACAGAAGAAAGAGTGGCTATTGTAGAGAGAGGCTTAAACAAGAGTCAATGTATAAACTGTCCACCCAAAAAAGTGGCCATTGTGTAGAGGTGGCTGTTTAGAGGTTCAACCGTATCCTCCTCAGAGTAAATGAAGAACTCTTACATACATGGTAACTTGGAAATTACATGCAATTAATTCTCTTTCAGAAAGTAGATGTGTCTGCACCTTTTCTTAACAGGAATCACTACTGGTGATTTAATTCTCGTAAGTGAGCAACTTCCATAAGTAACCACTCAATCTTTGCATTTTAGGTGGCTTCTTTTAAAACAAAGGTTTCATAACTTAACTTGAATTAATCCCCAGTCTTTGAACAGCAAAGATCAGGGCTTAAATCCTGTCCTTTCTCACTACTGCAAACAGGATATGCTTAAAGTTCTAAACCACTGCTCCTAATTTACACCCTCTTTCCAGCAGAAAATCATTATATTATTGATAGTATATTTTTACGTCTTAGAGGAGCTCTGTGGGTTGGAAACTCACATGTAAGAGATAGAAAGAATACAGCACTACAGCAAATATTAATATGAGCCCTTTTTCAGGGGCAGGGGAATGCCTGCATGTCACGAGTCTGACTTTCAAAACCCCCTAAGGGGGTACTCCCTTATATAAGCTATATCAGTATGTGCCACCCCATCAGGTAGAGTTTTTGCGCCGTTTTGGTCTGAAAAAGGGTATACACTTTGCCAATTTTGGTCTGGAATCAGGTATGGTTTTTGAGGGAACTATGGGAGTGTATGAACGTATTTATCATAAACTGTTACAATTCCAGATGACCAAGAAAGAAAGAGAAATATGAGAATTCAAAATGGATTTGAAGAATTTTTTTGCTTGTGCACTAATCTAAAGTAATGATGACATAATTTCTGCAGGCCTAGGTATGAAAACAGGTATGGAAAATTACATTTTTTGGTGTGAAATAGGGTCATGATTTGAAGAACCGGGCGGCACAGTCCCACAAAAAATTCCCAGGAGTAACCCCCCAAGCAAAACCCCCCATTTCATTTTTCTTCATGTTCGCCCATACTCAAAGAATCACTAGAAATTCTTTAAAAAGCAGTTCTAATCTTTGGAGATGTGGTCCACTCAACAATATTGAATTTAATTATGGGAAGCCAGAAAGTAAAGAGGAATTTTTTTTTACCTCTCACATTGATACAATGCACTCAGTGTCCTGACTGCAACAACAACTTACATATTTCTCACAGCAAAGAACTCTTGTTTACAAAGTGGTCATGGGCAATTGACTATGTTTAATATTCACAAGTGAACTTTGCCCCTAGAGATCGTACTTGCCTGGAGTGATGAAAAGTGGGTATTCAGTAAAAACATACGAAAGGTTTGACAGACAGAACATGTAAATAAGCCAGGCAATATGCTCAGCAGTTTGATATTATGATAGAATACATTTCTTGACTAAAACAGCTTTAAACACTTCGATTCATGTTGTCTGAGATAACAACCTTACATGCACATTAAATTGGTTGGAAAATTACTGGTGAATTATCAGCTTTGTCGGACTAAAATGTTTTCAAAGTACAACATTCTCAAAACCGAAATTCAGAACGTTCCTCGCGTCTTATTCATGACCGGTTATGATGCCTTTAAATGAAAATGCTGTGTGCGCCAGTGACTGTTAACATAAAAGTACGTAAGCTTATTAAGACATTTACCGGGAGCATGGAAAGCGCGTTGTTGTATAAATATCTACACAGACTTACTTTATACAACCTGATACGAGGAAAGAAAAGCTGCCCAGCATTAATTATAATTTCCTTGACGAACCATACAAGTACAAGAACATAACAGTCCTTGTATTATAATAAAGGAAGCAAAGTGATAATTCGATTTAAGCTTGAGCATAGACATTTCGAACCTATCAATAAAGGAATGAACATCTTAATTTTTAACATATCTTGCTTATAACACAAGAAAAAAATTCTTCGTAATACAGATCAAATTGGCCGTACTTTGGAACCTATGGTGATTCTTTAGAAAGAAGTACATATCTCCTTTTAGAAGAATTCATGTTTATGATAGAATTCGCTTTAGAAAAAGCTCAAAACAGGCAAATTTCAAGTTGAAAAACACGTCAGCTGTTACCCCAACTAAACTTGGGAAAATACAAGTCCAGTAGCTTACCTTCGCCGGGCTTCATTGTTCTGCCAAAAGTATCAAGTTTAAGACATGTCGTTATATTGTTGGCCAGCCAACACAAAATATTGGAGAGAGGTTTTCGAAGGAAACGACTAATCAGACAGATGAATTCCTCGACAAAAAAGTTTTGTTTTGCGCTCGATATATTGGAGCCAAACAACTGATTTTGGATATAAGTCTTCTGATTGGCTCTCGTCAAAGGCCGAATTCTGTCATCAACAATAATGTCACGTGCCGGAAGTGTGATTAAGACAGGGCTCAAAATAGGAACGTGCGTCAAACGTGCGTTTTAGTTTGACCATGGTTAGACCTGATTGTGAGCCGCGTCAATATACAAGAAAGACTAAGATAAAAGTAGTGATATCTCTGATATTTTTACCGCATTTATGAAAATAAAGTAAAGCCAAGAGAACAAGGATTGCGTGACATATAGTATTGTGATTAGGATTTTTCATTTCCGTCACAGTTTTTTCGGTGGCCTACGCCGCAGGAAGGACAATCTGTGGGCTCTTGAGGCTCGGCTGCTCATTATTTGTAGTTTCCAGTCCTTTATATTGCACAACGTTGTGCAACCAAGGCCCTGCTGTTTATTGGTGGCCGCCCCGTATATCCATTTGCGCTTTGCACGTTTCTGTCTCTTTTGGTCTTTCGATTCGAAGGCAGAACCATGCCGGTGAGAAGGGGAAAGATTTTTCTTTATTGCATGTTTCAGAAAGAACGCGAAAAGCCAGAGATCACGTTAAATCTAGGCTAATGCTTGATCTTTCAGATTTTTGGCTTGGATAGTGAAATCCTTACCCCTGGGCACGAAATGATCATGTTGAATTTTGTTGTGTTTGAGAAGTTGATGTGGTTTCGCTTTGAACCAACTGTTAAAATTAACTTTCAAAACCGTGAGTGTGGAAGTTCTAGCTGTGCTAAGGATTTTGAGAGTTGCTGTCTGTCGGTTTAGTCCTGGTTATCAACAAAGGATTATTTATCTTTTACCCTCTTTTGGTGCAGTTAACTTTTGAAACACCAGCTAAGTAACACCAGAAATCAATTTTGGTGATTACATTTCCTTGATGTTGAGGACCTTTTTTATATGCACAGCGTTAGATTTTTGAGGCAGAGCTCTGTTCCCGTAGAAGTAATGTTTTGAAGGTTGACTAAACAGCTGAAATGAGCATTTATTAAGGTTAATCAACTGATGTTATTGTTGTAATATTATAATAACTATGCTATTACACTGTAGTTCAGAGAAGTATGATAACCGTTTTTTTGTAGTAAGTTAACTCAGAGTTTCCTTTTCTGAGATTGATTTATGGGCTATGATTTTCCGCCTAAAGAAAAGCGCCAGGATTAAAATCGGCCTGATGTCGCTTTGGGCTAGCTAATCATAGTGTGTAAACCAGTCATTCTCTTTGTACTTGTTGCTTTGTTCTAGCGAAAATCCTACAGTCTTTGACAGAATAAAATGGAACAGCAAAACCCGGGCTGCAAAGAAAGTCTGTTTTACGGCTGGCTGCTTGGCCAAGCTGTAGTTGGCATATACATTAGCCCAGGAGTCATTTTAACCAGCCCGAAATACTATTTTGATGAGGAGGAATGATAACAGTTCCTCTGTAATTTGAATTCCATAAAAAGCTTCACTTACCAGTCGGGCAACTTAAGAAGAGAATTCCCTGTCCAATAGCAAAATCCACTAGCCCAATGCTATCAGACACGACTTTCTTTGCACGCCGAAAACCCCCATTCCCCTTTAAGGACAAAACACAAAACACACCATTTTCTGTCCTTGATTTGATGGGAGGTGGGAGGCGGAATTTTGCATCTGTTTTGTCCAAGATTGTAGGTATGGATATTGTTTTGTACTTAGTGGCCAGCAGCAAGTACACAAGGATATAGAACATTAATGCCTATTTCAATCTCTGTTTGTTATATCCTTTGCAGTTGTTCAAAGATCTTTTGCATCCCTCGGTGGAAGAAGAAAAGCGTAAGCACAAACTTAAGAGGCTTGTACAAAGTCCAAACAGCTACTTTATGGACGTTAAATGTCCTGGTAAGTTTGTTTGCTGACTGATAACTTAGTCCAGTTTGGAGTGAATGCTTAGTAAACCACTGTAAAATGGTCATGATCAGGCTGATGGTAGATATTGATACATTCTAGCCTTTCTGTGAGCAATCACCCAAAATACCTAGAGTAGTAACAGATAGTTGGTTGCTTGATTGAGCGCCAATGTCCAAAGGAAAATTCTCCAGACTAATTTGCATAGAATCAGTTGAAAGAATTTGTTTGAAGAACAAAGCATTTTCTTGTAGGTGAACATTAATTCTCCTAGGTTTTGGAATACAATGATGTTACTCTTCATACATCAACACTCAATTGTATTTCAGTCATTTTAGCATTTTTGTTTGGACAGGTGGAAACGATTCAAACATGCTAATTTTTAATGCATAATTTTTTGAAAATCAAAAAAATCTTGTTTCCAAAAATATCTGGATATGTGTGGACAAGGCCATGGCCCTTTCTCTACTAGAAGTGGCCAAAACTTACAAGATTTATTAAAGGAGAACAAAAACAGTGGTATAGCTTTTTCCTTTATTTATTTATCTATTTTTTTGGTTTAAATGGGGTGGGGGTAGGGGTATTTGGCAAGTGAAAATACTTCTGGGCGTGTACAATTTGAATGTGACTGGCCCAGGTGGGGAGTGTGGACAGTATTAGAAGTAGTAGAAAAGAGGTTTCTTCATAAATTTATGATGGTCATTAAGCCAGATTTCATCCTGGAGGTTCTGAATCTCCTGTTTCCTGCAGAAGTACAATATATGGTCTCCTACAATGTATATGTTGTGGTTCAATGTTATCCTCGGTTTAATTTTTAATTTCTTTTTTTGGGGGTATGGTAATGTCTGATAATGAGTTTGAAACAAAAGAAAATAAAATTAAGCCAAGGATAAAATTGAACCACAACGTATATAATACCGGTTTTTTGGTGTGTCTCAGTCAATTTGGTGGCCTGCTTCTATTAACTGAATTAGGACATGCTGTATGGAATCATTGGTGAAATCTCCTTGTCAGTCAAAGTGTATGTTCCCAGTTATCCCCTCTGTTCCCTTAACATTTCGGCAAGTACTGTGATTGCTTTTCATGCATAATATTAAGTATTTTTTGCCTCTCAGGTTGTTACAAGATTACAACTGTGTTCAGTCATGCTCAAACAGTTGTGCTTTGTGTGTCATGTTCCATGGTGCTTTGTCAACCCACAGGAGGGCGGGCAAGACTGACAGAAGGTATGCAGTGTTTTTGTGTGCACATCATCACTTGACCTGTATGTGTACTAAGCTACCGTAAAATTCCGAAAATAAGTCCCGGGGCTTATATTTTTGAGAGGCTTATTTTTGGAGGGGCTTATCTACGGAGGGAAATTTGCGTTTCAAAATCAATTGGGCTATCCTTATAGTTGGAACTAAATTTACCGTTTTTTTTTTGTTTTACTTTATATTTGAGGGCAATTTTCCAAGTACAAGCCCCTAGGGGGCTTATATTCGGAGGGGCAATTTAACGGAGGGTTTTTGCTGTGACTGGTTTGGGGGGCTTATACATGGAGGGGCTTATTTTCAAAATTTTATGGTATTTGCAGTACATGCAGAGCTTTTAGCAACAACATGGAACTCCAGATACCTAACCTTAGAAATTGCATGCAATAAATTCTCTTCCATAAAGCAGATCTGTTGGAACCTCTACTAAGAAAACACCCTTGTGGTTTGATTCTTAATAGCCACCACTAAATGTTTGCATTTTTTATTTTTGCTTATGGAAAACTTTTTTTAGTACATCCTGTCACTATTCTTGAATTATCATCCATTGAAGCCTTATATACTCTTAAGGTATTTTCATTTACTTTGTGTCAGTGCCCTAGAATAATCAAGATAGTATTTAGAACACACTTTTAGTTGTTTGAAATGAGTTTATAATTTAAATTGGCAACTGTAAAAGGAATTAAAAAAGTGTATATCTTGAGCACTAATGCTGTCTTGCAGAAGGTTTAATGAATGTTTGCTCCGCTTTTTTACCATTCAGTGAAAGCCAAAAACACACCTTCACCTATTCTCTTTGTACTTTGTGTCACGTAAGTGACTTTAAAAGTTTATAGCATGAATTCTTATTCTGGAATATGGTAGGTCTAGCATACCCTTATATCATCTACAAATGCATCTCTGTCTCTCTATTGCTTGAGCTACATTTACTATTTCCGAGCGGAGGAGTAGCCATGCACTGCAGCCCAATTCATGCCTTGTTATTAATTTTTCTTATTAGGTAAACTGTAGAGGTATTCCTAGGGCATCGTCTTTGTGTTCCCTCCAAACTAGCCTCCCATGCAGACGTTCTTTTGGCTAGTCATGCAATCCTCCCCAATGTTCATGGGGCAGGAACACGTGATGAAACCCCAAGAATGTCTGGATGGGAGACTATCGTCAAACCTCATTTGTTCTGTCTTTTGTTTGTAGGTTGCTCCTTCAGAAGAAAACAGAACTGAATTCCTCATCAAGAATGTGGTGTCAATTAAAGAAACAATAATTTAAATCAACACTGAATTGCTCTGTTATTTTTAGTAGTTAAGAGAAATGAAACTTTTGTGGGAGCTTCCTGTTTTCAGAAGTAATGTTGTAGGTGTTAAGACCAAAGGATTTTTTTTGTGTGCTAGTACTCAGCTTTAAGGCAAAAATCAAAGAAAGTTTTACCATTTTATATTTACTGGTAAGAACAGTGGCTTCGTTGCTCAGACATACTTGTATGCTCTTGCCACTGACATTGCCTCTGTAAATAATAAAGTCAGTGTTGATTTAAACCTGTTCCAGTGGGTTGATTTTAGAGATCTTGCCCTGTAGACGTCAATGGGTTACAATCAACTTGCTTGCTTGGTTTGTGTAGCCAATTTCTACCTGAAACACTACTTGAAGAAAGTAATTAGGATTGCACACTGCATTGACTTCTGTCACTGGTTGATATTGTGGATGGTTACTGGCTTTGCCGGATATACAGGGTTGTCAGAAAGGTTTGAGATAGATGGCTGACATGTCGAAGAAAGCACCTAGTCCAGGGATATTTTTTTTGAAAAACGCTATATGCAAAGAAATACCAACCAGAGTAGCCGACCAATACTAACTAAGTAGGCGGCGATTTTCGTCGGCAGCCTGATTCTTTTGACAACCCTGGATATGGGGTTAATAATAAAAAGTCTGTTCCTATCCCGCATCGCAGACTAACTCCGGTTAGCAATGTCTGCGAAGCAGCGCCAATATACTTGTTCTGGGCCCCCAATAGACTCAATAAATTATCGGAAATGTGTTTCAAATTTCCTTTCAACCTGATTGGCAAATTGAACAGACCGATCATGGCGCTTACTCAAATCCTGGTACACAGGTGGAGGCCCAGAACGAGGCTTTTGGTGCTGTTTCGCAGAGGGACTTAAATCAGAAGTTAATTTACGTCTGTGGCGCAGGCTATCCATTCCCTAAAGAACGCAGGAAAAATACCTTAGTATAGGCCACTCCACAAGGGTCTACATCCCCTGCTCTTGAGATGTTAGTCTAGGTGCTTTTTTGCCCCCTCATAATAAGGCCATCGCTACAGTATAGTGATAGCTTTTCATGCTAACGCAAAAAGCTATTCGGTACAGTACAGGGTTCGCACGCACCTTGAAAATCCTTGAAATTCCTTGAAAATTGTAGTCGGAATTGGAAAGTCCTTGAATTTCAATGCTAACTTAATAGTTTAAGGAGAAATGCAAAGAAAAAGGAGCAAACACAAAGACCTCAATTGGGATAAAATTCTCCTGATGTGGAAGAACTGAAAAAAGAGACAGACTCAAGGCTCTTTTTTTGCACTGAATGTAGTCCTTGAAAAATGCGAAATGTGTCCTTGAAAGTCCTTGAAAAGTCCTTGAATGTTTTGTTCAGAAAAGGGTACGAACCCTGACAGTATGAACGGCACAGAACTTGATGAAGTCCTTCACACAAGAGAGGGTTTGGTGCTCTCAAACGTAATACTTGTTTGTAAATATTTATTATTTTTCCATCTTAGTGGGTTCTAGCCCTTCTCCTACCCATTGACTTTTGCTATGGTTCGAATAGCTGTTCACACTGCAACAAAAAGTTCGCTTTCAATATCGGCGCTAGACTGTTCACAGTCCTCTATTTTTCCGTAAGATAGTCGAGACGTTACGGGCTGCCATCTTGCACGAGTGTCATAACACTGTCCTTGATATCACGTAATAATTTGAGCGACGCGATAACATACGCTCTTTAAAAACATAACGTTTTGCACACCTAAAAATGCAGTTATTGTCGTATGAATAATTTTAAAATTAGCACCCTTAAAGTTTCTTTCATAATTGCGAGCATCTCTTTAAAGCTAACATTCGAGCTTTTTTTCCGGACCGATGTAACACATAAAATAAAGCTTTAAATTGACGTTTATGTAAAATTCTGCAGAAATTTCGGTAACAGCTTTCGAAATTGAAGTGGCAACTTTTTGGCATTCCAGTAAGCAACTTTCCAGCAGGGGTTCGTCACGCGTCATTGGCGCGGGAACGCGTGACGAAGCCATAAGAACGTCTGCGTGGGAGGCCAGACCCCCTGGAGGAGTGACTCTGCAAAAACAAACAGATCAGAAGCGAGCTAACCCTTCTCGAATTTTTTTCCAACTGAAGACCTAATTCTCTTGTTTGCTCGTGATGTTTGTGAAGTTTGGTAATCGGTTCCTGATCTTGTGTACATTGACGGTGGCATTCCTATCGACAGGTAAGCAAAGAAAGGCAAATTCAATGTATTTGTCTTCTCAATAAGGGCCTCGATTATGTAAGAACCCAAAAAACACGAGTCAATCCAGAAGAAGTTGGATTATAATGCACCCCCATTAAATGTTAAGGCTACGTCCAATAGGTCGTATTCCGTAGTATTAAAGGGGTATACACAGAAAAACCAACTTATCGGGAGATCGTGGATGCAACGGACGTCAGAAGCCTCCTACTCATTGTCGATCAAGATGTGAAACAGTTCAGAGGACAATCATTTAGAATTTCTACAGTCAGAGCCATTATTCAGAATGCCAGAGTGCGACACAATCAAACGCGCATTTAGAAAATACGCACGATACCTTCTGGGTTTTTCTGTGTTGTCGTTTTGGAAAAGATAGTTTCTGGGAGTTTCCTGCCTCAGTATTTAGAAACATGTGTATCGCCAATGCCTCGGCGAAACTCGGGGGAGGATTGCGCGTAAAATGATAGGGAGGGGAGGGTGGGAAAGAAATATTGCATTGATACATAGGCACGTATCACGTCCAGGCCACATGATTTCGCGAATTTAATCATTTTCTCGGAAGCGTTTATCTTAATTTGAGATTGTTGTTGTCGTTGTTGTCTTTATCTTTAATCGGTTAATTGCTAATAGTATAAGGCTAATCTACCGGTTGCCTGTACCTTAAAAGCTTCATTCTATGGATTAAATTTTGTTGCTGAGTTGTTGCCTGCCTCTGTTTCAATTTGTGTGTCATTTCGGGACATCAGTTTGGCTTAACATCAACCAGGGGCAAGACTGTTATTTTTTTCTCCGAAACTTGGCACCTTTCATCAATAGGGCTACAATACATGCTAATTCATTTTTCTCCCATTTTATACACAGTGAACAGTTTAAAATGTCACCACTGCCTCAGCTCCTTATCAGCTGCCAACTGCAGTAAATCCAGCAAGGAAACGAAATGCCCGGATGCAGCGGACAGCTGCGCCAATATTTCCACTGAGGTTTACACAGAAACTGGATCCCTCAAAAGCTTCTTCTATGGCTGCGCGACTCAGCAGATGTGCAGCGATGCGAAAGAAAAGCTTACAATTTGCGACACCATTAAACAGAGGGGCTATAAAGTCGAGTGCAACATCACTTGCTGCAGTACAGGGGATTTTTGTCTTCCACTTCCCGATACATCAGGAGTCACACTGGAATTAAGCCGCTTCTTGGTAGCTACTTACGCATTCTTCATCTTGTTAAACTATATAATTTAGGAAGATTTGTCTGCTTTCGTTTCGGCGCAGTTGCAGAGACAGCGACCCTGATCCTTTCTTGTACAGGTAACCGTTCGAAACCAGCCGCTGAGACTATATTCTATCCTGTAACAACCGCATATACACCTATATACTGTTGACGCTTAATGCCACAGCAACTCATCTCCTGTTAAACATTTTACAAACAGCCCTTGGACAAACAGAAAACAGTAGTTTAGTTTAGATCAAGATTACTTTCGCGCGAAGGGCTTACACCTTGCACGTATAGTCTCACTCTCTGTTTTAATTTCATCCTCACTCCACGAGACCTTTATGCAAAAAATACGGGCTGTTTTGCAGTTTGCTAGTAGCAGCAGGTTATATACTGCTGAACCTTAATGTCGGAGCAGCTCAACTCCTTTAAAACATTTTACAGACAGCCAATGGACAAGCAGAAAATTGTCTAGTGTAGATCAAGATGCTCTATTAAACCTCCTTACTTTAAATACATTGTCTGTGCAGGTAAAAGAAATGAAACGATGATCAACAACTGAACTGTATACTCAACCACAGTATCGTCTATCAGTACATATGATGTTAGGAAACGTAAGATCCGGCGAAGGCGACAGCAACCAGAACGTCAAAAAAGCAATAGGTATGATAAAGAAAACAACGAATCTGCCTATACACTCACACTTTTTGGGGTACATTTCTTTGCCGTCACTGTACGACTTTGACGAGAAAATGCCTGATTTCTCGTTTTACTGGGGATGCAAACAACTATCGGCGAAATTTCCTTTGTCTTTCTGAACTTGGATGTGGTTCTAAGGAATTCAACTCCAGGAGGGTTTAAATTTTGCCAGAACTTGAAAAATTGCAATAGAGATTAAAATGGCATAATCGTGATGACGATTGAAATAATGCGAATTCACTTTCCAAGCAACCGGTTTTCGCTGCCGTGGACGTTCTCGGATCTCAAGCTTCCTTACGTACCGTAAATGATCTAATTGCGGGCAACAAGAGGAGCCCACAGACTATTATTGGTCAGCGGCACATTTTAGACTGTATAACGAGGTTTTTCCAAAATCTGTCCACATTCTTGGGATACCTGTGTTCTGCGTACTTATATGCATGGCATGTGGCCGAGAAGGCCCTAGTGTTGAGTATAAGGTCCATTTGATGTCACAGTAATCACGTGAAATGCAAATGCACTCTCATGCAACAATATTTGTTCGGTTCGAAAACGTACATATTAAATTCAGCTATACACGTAATGTACTAAATGCGAGACTTAATTAATTTTTCGATTCACCTTGCCGGCCAGAAATCTATTTACCGAGGGAAATGAAAAGTAGAGCGAGCCTGATCTCAGCTTAGTGCGGGAAGGGTCTTCGGTAGGATACTGGTGATTGCAAGGTTTACAAATCCATGTAAAGAAGCTAATACAGGTTACACTACGGTGCATGGTTTTTATATTGCTATACGTTTCCAAGCATGTTACGTCGCTTGTCATCTGAAAGCTTCAATAGGATCCAATAGGTTTTTTGATGATTTTCTATTACATTTCAACGACCTTTGGTCATTGAACACGGATTGAATATTCGATTGACTAGACTTCAAGTAGTCATGACTGTATACATTCCTAGTTGAGCATTGTTTAAAATGTCACACATTACTGTTTTCATTGTACAGTTTGCCTCTGCGAATAAAGCCGTCTCTCCCCGCTTCTCACCCTTCGCAGGCTAATTGTATCTAAGCCACTGTAAATAAAATCGTTGAATTCGATATGAATCTTGTTTATTGTGTTGTTTAATTCAGTTTCCTCGCTCAACATTCGCCGTGATTCCTTTCGTTGGCACTGGAACTAAAAGGGCTTTCTTTGATTTACGTACACAATTATGAGAGCGGTTTTCAACATCAATCGCACCTTTAAGGTAAACGTACATGTTCGCCTACACTTCCTAACCTTTGGTTACTGCTACTTTACACCCAACCTCGTTCCCAGGGTTCTCTCTTTCTTGCTTCGTACGGAAGGCTAGGAGAGAAACCTGGGAACGAGGTTGGTTCACCCCTTCGGCTCAAATAAACGCTTCGCCTCTCTCTAATAAACGCCCCCTATCTAATAGACTCCCCCCCCCCGTGACAGTTATTGTAGGAAATAGCAAAAAGGAGCAAACGTATTTAATTCAGTCAGTTTCTTGCTTGATTAACAAGGGTTTGTTTGAGGCCTAGACATATCAATGGATGAAGTGGATATTTTGCTATATATATAAATCTTTTAATAGTTTTTTTCGAAAGCATATTAGTTTTGTTGAGCTTGCTACAGTTATGAGAATACCGCTGCCTGTCTCTTTTAAACACTTCCTATCTCGTTTGTATCAAACGCCCCATCTTGGACGCTCAAAATAAAATAAATTCCCGGTTGTAGCATTACTGCCGAGTGGCCGTTTTATATTTCGACTGACTTAAGCTCCCCTCCCTAGACACTTGCCAGGCATATGTAATCTTTTTCTTCTTAAAATTGCGTATACCCCAAGATTAGGGCAGCAGATTCGTGCAAGAAACCCGCAGTCTGGCTTAAAAAATGAGCTCAAATGGCCCACCCTGGGGAAAAGCCAACCACTTCAGTGTGCATGAGCGACTTTTTCCTTTCCAATTCTGGCCCGCCTCTGGTCATACTAGACGGGAGTAATTTCTCATGTTGACATGAAAAGTAATGATTTTATAAAGCAAAAACAACAGTTCTGCACGTGCATCACACTTCTCGGTGCATTTCTGTGATGTCCAGAGCACGAAATTCCTAATGCGAGAGCACGATCTTTCCAGTTTTCTGTGACTCAAGGGACTGAGATTAAATTAAATTTGGTTTACGTGAGAACTGGAAGAAGCGCTTCAGTGCAGCTATGAAATATAATATCACCAAAGACGTTGGGATCAGGTCTCGCACCCGGGGGAGGGGGGGGGGGGGTACTCCCTACAATGGCCTATACAGAGAGGCTCCGCCAGAAAGGGGTACCTTTTTCAGGCCTCAGGTATACGGAAGGTTATGGATTTTACTCGTTGAAGAATTCGAAAGGGTAGGAAAATCTGTCATTTGGGTCTGTAAAAGGGTCTAAAAGGGCTAATACATAAATTTTATAGCTTTACAGAGTCGAGAAAACGTTCTGTTTTTGCGACTGATTCCTAGTTTAAAAAAATATACGTGCATTTACAGCAGTTAAAAGGGATGCAAAGTTTTAATCAAGGTATGTGAAAGGGGCCACCATTTGTCAATAGAAGGTATACGAAAGGGGTACCTTTTTCGTGAAAAGTGCTATATAAAATTAAAGGGTAAGGGGTTGCACCTCTCGGCGGAGCCTCGGACCCGTATAAAAATCTGTTGAGTACCCCCTCTCCGCCCCCAATCTAGCATTCAAAAATTCAAATTCAAGAATAGCCCTTTTTATTCATCTGTTTGCTTAACCTTGCTCTATATTTTATGCCCCGTTGATTAAAGATATTTTAAGGTACGACTTCCCTAATTAACTGGGCGGCCTGTGGCGAGCCCAGTTTATAAAATGGGTTTCATTTTTTTGTCGGGGGGTATTTCTGGGAAGTCGTATTGGGGGTGCACCGTCCGCCTCATCTAATCTCCATTTCAGAGCAATATCTATAAGGCTTATGTAAGAGAGTTCCTCTCCCGGGATTTGTGTCGTGAAAACGGACAACCTTTGACCTTATGATGGTTTAACATGAAGTACTTACCCATGTTAAGCGAATGCAGCCATTAAATGACGATGTATTTGAAGTTAGCGTACTGCGCGTTTTCACCGTCTGCTTCAAAAGAT